ATGATTCCTACAAAATTGATTCATAAAGAACGGAACGTATCTACCGTCTTATAGGGGATCTACTGTATTGAAAAATATAAAAACAATAAAAAATTATACTTCCGAAGTTAATTTAGTATCGAAAACGTAAAATATTTGAGTAGCCCAAGACATAGCCAAAGATTGCAGCGCCACAGCACTGGCAAAAATTTAAATTTGCCGACTGGAATTCTTTCGGATAATTGACGTTTCGGATGATTGACTTTCGGATAATCGACGCTCTACTGTATTTTCAATTTTGTCACATTTTTACAATGTTTAAGTTTATATAATTTACTTTCGGTAAATAATAAAAATCACCGCTGAACAATTTTCACTTCGATGTCCGGAGTGATATAACCGACTCGTATATTACGTAAGAATTATTTATTCTAATTACTGCTTCTAATATTTTTTCGCTTATAAAAATTTAATTAATCCAATTCAAATTGACTAATTATTAAAGTCTACTGTCGACTGTGTCGCCATCTTTTGGAATGTAAAGTTACGATCATTAATTAATATAAAAAACATTTTAATACTAGAATTAGGCTATTTGTTAATCGTTGAAACGAAAAGCTACTCCATCTTGATAGAAATCTGAATCTAACCGTAAATGTAAAACTGGGATAATTTGATCGAACGAAGATTCCGACGAAATGTTAATTAATTTTCTAAATTGATTTCGCATCGCCTAAGATAGTCGAAGCTGGCGAAGATACTGGTGGCTAAATTAAAATCACTCCAAGCACATTCGAAGTGGATCGAATGTCTACGTGATTAATCATATTTTTTTTAATTTATTTAATTTAAAATATATGCTGGCAACCTCAAATTAGTAATGCCTTGCCCCTGTACTGTACAGTACATCATACTTTTCCTTTAGCAATCGAGTCGTAATCGGGATAATGATTAAGAAACGAAATTTGGCACGGTAGTTTGTATATAAGGGGCATTGATGCTATTAAAATTTTGATTTTGTTTGTGAAAGGTCAGGGAAATAGAGTGAGAGGTGAATCGATTTATCTGCGGACAAATTATTATTATTTAAGTACTGTATATTTGAAATAAATAATGAAATTAATAATATGTATATGTAATTGATACATCTTTAAATTTTAGTAAAGTAAATCACATGATTTTGAATTTTGACTTAATTTTAAAAAAACGTTTAATAATTTCATATGTGACTTTTTATTTCAATCTATTTATAATTTATTCTTATTTTGTATCAGTATAGAGAGGGATCATAAATTTAAGTCTAATCTTGGAAGGGTGTCGACAATAAAATAAGTTTGGATTGAACTGAATATTAATGGATAGTGAAGATTATCAAATAAACACCGAAAACATTAAATTAGAAATGAATAGACGTATCGTATCTGTGAAAATGTTAATAGTAAATTATAGCCATTTTGATTATCTTCTAATCTAATTTTAATATACCGGTAATCTGGATCAGTTCGGGGGAGGATTTGGAAGCGGCGATGGGAACGACTAACCGAAATTTTTTTCTTCGTTAAAGAAACACGAAGCTCTTATTAAAATATTTTAATATGTTAATCATTACAGTAGAGCGTCGATTATCCGAATCAATTGGGGACTGGAGTTGTTCGGAAGATCGATGTTTCGGATAACCGATTATGTACGAAAAAATATATTAATTTATCCCATCTTGACATTTTTNAAATATACGTATTTTGGAAATGTTGAGTCGAATTAGTCTAGAATCGATTAATTTTATGAAAGAAAACCTTTCAAACAGCCGTAGTCCGTAAACTATGATTCCTACAAAATTGATTCATAAAGAACGGAACGTATCTACCGTCTTATAGGGGATCTACTGTATTGAAAAATATAAAAACAATAAAAAATTATACTTCCGAAGTTAATTTAGTATCGAAAACGTAAAATATTTGAGTAGCCCAAGACATAGCCAAAGATTGCAGCGCCACAGCACTGGCAAAAATTTAAATTTGCCGACTGGAATTCTTTCGGATAATTGACGTTTCGGATGATTGACTTTCGGATAATCGACGCTCTACTGTATTTTCAATTTTGTCACATTTTTACAATGTTTAAGTTTATATAATTTACTTTCGGTAAATAATAAAAATCACCGCTGAACAATTTTCACTTCGATGTCCGGAGTGATATAACCGACTCGTATATTACGTAAGAATTATTTATTCTAATTACTGCTTCTAATATTTTTTCGCTTATAAAAATTTAATTAATCCAATTCAAATTGACTAATTATTAAAGTCTACTGTCGACTGTGTCGCCATCTTTTGGAATGTAAAGTTACGATCATTAATTAATATAAAAAACATTTTAATACTAGAATTAGGCTATTTGTTAATCGTTGAAACGAAAAGCTACTCCATCTTGATAGAAATCTGAATCTAACCGTAAATGTAAAACTGGGATAATTTGATCGAACGAAGATTCCGACGAAATGTTAATTAATTTTCTAAATTGATTTCGCATCGCCTAAGATAGTCGAAGCTGGCGAAGATACTGGTGGCTAAATTAAAATCACTCCAAGCACATTCGAAGTGGATCGAATGTCTACGTGATTAATCATATTTTTTTTAATTTATTTAATTTAAAATATATGCTGGCAACCTCAAATTAGTAATGCCTTGCCCCTGTACTGTACAGTACATCATACTTTTCCTTTAGCAATCGAGTCGTAATCGGGATAATGATTAAGAAACAAAATTTGGCACGGTAGTTTGTATATAAGGGGCATTGATGCTATTAAAATTTTGATTTTGTTTGTGAAAGGTCAGGGAAATAGAGTGTGGTCACGTGTCATATTTTGCCAGAGGTCAGACTTAATGAAGCATTTACACGTCTACTAAAAGTATAATTAAACTAACCTAACATAAACTAACCGAAGCGCCGCCATTTTAGTTACCTAGGTATACATTAACTTAAAATTATACTTGACGTCTGTATAAATTTACAACTACAATTCGCGACAGACTAAAGCGTACTTAATCTCTTCTATAAAAACATTTAAAACAAGGACTCGCAACTTACCGGAAATCGTAAATTATATTCCGTTTGGAGTAACGCTACGTTAAAACTGTTCGAAAATTCGAAAGCAGACGAACACGGAATCGTCTAGTGGCGCCCCCATAAGAAAACGTTCTCGTCTTCGAAAAAAATATTTCATTTTTTAATAATAGAATAATCGAAAAATTATTAACTTAAAATCGTTTATATTTAATTGCTAAATTTACTAAATGGTATTTATTTACAAAATTTCACGTTTTTACTTAATTTTTGCATTAAACAATTAAATTACGAAATTGTTTAATACGATCCATTATTAAATTCGTTGGGAAGGAAAGGAAATCGTAAAATAAAATTTTCGGGAGTTTTCCCAAATACTTATATTTAGAAAAATTGTTTACGTTTAAAATAGGAAATGTGGTAATCCCATTACGAGTTCAGTTGAGTGATGAGGGACGAAATCCACCTATTCGAATAGACCATTCCCAAAAAATCTTCGACCCGTACTTTGTATCGAAAAGAAAAGAAATACTTCAAAGCATTTGAACTTATTAGGCAACGCCATGTAAAAGACAATAGTACACTTTTCAATTATTGCCTGTCCCGATAATTCGTTAAAACATACTACCCCGTGAGATGCTTTGTAATGTGGAAGCTGAGATAATCGCCATAGATTTTTAGATAATGTAATAAAATTCGGATATGTCATTCCACCCGGCATTCGACCTCCGGTAAATCACGACAGCGTGGGTCTTTCGGGCCTGTGCTGGATGATCTCTTCGTATACAGAATAGTAAAAGCATTGCAATCTAGATCAAGTCCATACAGGTTAGTGGGGCATTTGATTTGGGTGCCTGACACAGATGGGCTCTCAAATTAAATATTTTTTATACAAAAACACGATATGATGACATAAATTACAATTAACTTTGATAAATAGTGAAAAATCTGTTGTTTGTTTTTATTTGATTTTATTTTATATATTTTATGGCTTTCGGAGAAGAAGTAAAGTTCTACATTTGTGAATGGCCGGGCTCCATCTTTCCTCTCGCGCCCATCAGTATCCGAGTGGATAAATCTAAAGAATACTGGTAATTAGGTAAGGTGAGAACCCAAGTCTTGGGTTCTCACTTCACCTAATTAATGGGCTGGCTACGTGGAGTTTTCCTGGTTTTCTCCACGTCTGTAACGCTTAAATAGGGGCCAGTTTCCCTTAAAAAGATCTCCCGGAAGGCATTCCCTGTAGGCAGATCGCCCAAGTGTTGCGTTGCCATAACTTTGCAAACAAACATACATTCTCCCCTCGACAGATCTTCCGTGTGTCGCGTTGCCGTATACGAATAAAACCATCTTTTCTGTCTGATGCTCTAATCTAGATGACAGAAAAATCGAAACAAATTAATCTGCTTACAATTGGAACAGTGTTAATGTTACCTCTAGAAATTAAGCTAATGATCTTTCTGACAATTAGTGCCCGTAATTACCGAAAATACTTATTTGTGACATTAAAGATTAGTTTTAAGCTAATATCATTCTGTAATTGTTTATCTGCCTTTCTTACGACGATACACTTCTCTGATAAAACCGTGTTTCGTGCATAATTCAACATCGGATAACAGAATCATTTAACACATCATTTTCCTGCGGATTAAATTAGTTTCTCTTAGATGTATTTTTTCATTGAATTTACAATAAAAAGCTATCCAAAATAATGTTTGCTGTTCTGGATTTTCGAACAGCATCAGAAAAGATGTAAATTCGCTATGAAATTTCTCATTCCCACATTTCTAAAATACTAGAATCTTCAATACCCACGTGAAGTATTCTCTAATTGTTCGTGAAAACCGGAATGAGAATAAATTATAAGTAAAAGATCGCCATTTAGAAACTAAACACCTTTTTTATCTTAAAACAGACATTCCATTGATTTTGATTCGCTTATTTCTATTGGAGGAAAACTCGTGTGACAGGCGATGTAATTTCATGTGTTACATCAATGTCTCCTCTATAATGTTATTACAATATTAATTATTACAGAAAATGCCAGTGATTATTATATGCTAATTATTAACATATTTTTCTTTTATTTTTTACTTTCAACAGGCTTCCACACCAGAAGCGGATCGTCACGATACCGGAGCAATATATAACAAAATGCCACTTTACGAATTAAAAGAAATAATTCCCGAGGTAAGCGAAAAGCGTATAGAAAGGGACCGTAAGAAAACACACATAAGCAGAAAATTTCTAGTAAATTTAGATATAATTCCCGTACTAAAAATTACTAACCTAACCTACACAATAAACCGAAACCTCTTTCCTTCTGTTAATAAACTCGTCTAATTTTGAAGATCAGGCTGCCAGATTATTAAAATTATACCACGGTTCATTAAATGGAAGCTATAAGTTAAATTCTTTTTAGTTTGATTGGCTGGATTACCTGAACGTCTTACTACCGACGACAATAACAGAAGAAGAACCAATCGTTCTGTACGCTTTGCCTTATTTAAAAGAGCTGAGGAATATATTGAGAGAGACGCATCAGAGGTATGTATGATGGCTTTATGTCTATTTTTCGTAAATATCGTTTGACAGATTTTGACCTTACCGACAGAACAATTCATAACTATTCAATCTGGAGGCTGGTGAAACAGATTTTGCCATTTCTGGTGGGAGAATACGCCCAAAAACGGTCGGAATTTCGAGAAATATTATACGGAGTGTCCGCGGATAGGGCCAGATGGACACATTGCGTCGATTTGGTGAACAAAAGAATGGGCATGGCCGTGGGGGCGCTCTTCATCAGGGATAATTTCGATCCCAAAAGCAAAGAAACGGTAAGATTCTTTTTGAAAGACGTAAAGAATTCCGACGCTTATTAACGCCAGAATTTTACGTCAGGCACTCGAGATGATTCATAACATCAGAGAAGCATTCAACGAATTACTGGAAGAAAATTATTGGATGGACGTCGAAACCAGGGCGGTGGCTAAAGAAAAGGTCAATTTCTACTTGACCCCTTCCCTTATTATATACGTTTTTCTTATATTAATTTAATTTAATCTGTTCGTCCATACGCAATTTGCATATTTGAAGTCTTAAAATACATTTGGATGTTGTTTCGATCCACTCGTACATCCACAATAGAACAAATAACTTGGGTATTTAAATATTAATTACGTGTGTTTAGGCCAACGCCATGAACGAGAGAATCGGTTATCCGGATTTATTAACCAGTCCTGTGGAATTATCGAAAGAATACGATGCGGTAAGTATCCCCCTTTTCACGGTTCATACGTAAGATTAAAGGGAACTAAAGGCTTTCTTCCCGCAGCTAATCATCCACGAACAATATTTTCTGATAAATCTCTTCAATGTTTTAAAATTCGAAGCATCGAAGAATTTATTAAAATTACGTCAGCCGGTTAACAAAGACAGGTGGGCCTTAGCATTCCTTTTCGATTTCGAACTAATTCGACGTAATGGGAATTATATATTTAATTTTTGCAGATGGACCACGGAGCCAGCAGTAGTCAATGCGTTTTACGATCCAAACAAGAACGATATCGTTTTTCCGGCTGGAATTTTACAACCGTTATTTTACAGCCAATACTTCCCAAAGTAAATTTTCATACGTTAACTTTTATAAATAATAGTGTGTTAAATCAATCGATTTTATCATATCGATACTGTAAAAAAGGTCGAGCGTAGAAGATAAGCTGATTATTGGTACGCGAGTTGGCACTTCTCTATTTAGAAATCGTTGACGTATCGTATGGAACGAAAAACTTTTTGTTACTGAACGTCATCAATGGATACAAATTTTATAGTGTACAAAATTCCTATCGCGCGAATTTGTAGCCTGTTAGTAACCAAAAAGTAAAGAACTGTTCATTTAGTGCATTCGTATTCGAAAATAAAATACCAATCTTCTCTGGAAAGTCGTCAAAAAATATAAAAGCCAGCTGCTTATTCGGTAGTGCCTTTATGCAGTATATGTAACATGGGCCCATGCTTTCGCTTTTATCGTGTAAATTAATGCAACCGTTATTTTTTTACACGTAAAACTGTAGCTAATAGTGCTGGCGGGAAAAGAGAAAAATACTAGTCGTATTGTTCTCTGTGTTGTGTTTACGTCTTAAGTTTTTATTGTGCATTTAACCCTTCTTACTCGCATCTTCAAAAAGCGCAAGTGTATTTTTAACAAAGTAAATTAAAAATAATGTGTTGAAAACCATTCATTTTACTTAAAAAACCGATAAAATTAAAACGATAAAGTCGGAGGTGTTCGTAATAATACCGCGCCTATTTATAGATCTGAGGGGAGTAAACCCAAAGTGACGTACCCTAGCAAACAAGCAATACGCACACAAATGTGGTTTCAGAAAGAATTTATTTCATATACGCAAACGAAGACGTGCTGTAATGAATGGCACTTTCCAGACTAGGATTTTGTTTAAAGAAATTATAAAAATAAAAACATAAACCATCTCGGTGTGTCATTTTGCCGCGTACTTGTAGCAAAATGACGTAGTAGGCGAAAATATCTACTCGTTGCATAATCACAAACGTTTTGCGTGTCGAGTAAGTCCAACACATTCTATACAACTCCATTTCTTGCCCTTTGTATACCGAATCCAAGTCTCCTTCGACAGAGATTGAAGATACAACTCTTATAATATATAAAAGACAAACACTAGTGACCGAGTGGATAAAACCACCGAACGCGGTCACGCGTTTACACGTGAAGTTTTCCCGGTCTTCTGCACGTTTCTAACACCTAAATATGAGCCAGTTTCCCGTAGAAAGTTCTTCCGAAATTCTCCCCTTGGAGATCATCCGCATGTTCCGTTGCCCATTAATTCTGCAATCCTTTTTATTGATTTCGAAAACCAGTTCGGTCTGCTGCTCTCTCCTTTCTAGTTATTGGGAAAAAGTATCGACTCATTAGTATATGCATAAACACGTTTAAGAGCAAACCACATTGTATCATTGTGTCCTTGGGGGAATAGTGTACAAAAAGTTGGCAACACATATTCGTGGAAAATCTATTTTAAAAAAATGCAATAAGCAAGCCAAAAAGGAAAAACCTCTAACATCTGCAGTTTCGAATATTTCACATAACCCAGAAGAATTACAATTCTGCTCACGATCACTAAAAGTTGCTCATTGGCAAGCACAATAGCCATTTGGAGAAGGGAATTCTCTGTCTCATAATCTTCAGTGAACAAGAATAAAATATTTCCCAAATATTTTTGATGTTTCGGAATCAGAATATCACGCTTGTTACTCTATCAACAAATGTAAATATTTCATTAAACTGTTTAACTTGAAATTTTCTGACTTCACATTACATATCTACATAATAAAAAATTCAAGAATTTTATGTACGAATTTATATGGTTATTACAAGTAAGATATATGAGAAAGACATTAATTAACCGTCACATCCAACCGGGTCGTCGATAAAGATTTGTATTGTATTATTAATTTCAATATTCTCAGTTAAATCTCAAAGAGAAACATTGTCTTATTTGTGACTCGTTTAGATCACTGAATTATGGAGGAATCGGAGTGGTTATCGGACACGAAATTACCCACGGATTTGACGACAAAGGTAAAGACTACCAAATAAACTTGGTGTAGACATTTACTATACGTGACAGGTATTGCATTAATTAAATGGAGGTGCTAACTATCACAAATCCTATTTCCAGGTCGGCAATTCGACAAAGACGGAAATTTAAAGCAGTGGTGGAATAACGCAACCATTAACAGATTCCGAGAGAGAACTCAATGCATCATCGATCAGTATTCCAGCTACGTTCTAGAAGACACAAATTTAAATGTATCTATAACAATGCATTAAATCGGACGTATCGACAGTTACATCGCTAACAGATAGATTTTCTTACAGGTAAATGGGAAAATGACTCAAGGCGAAAACATAGCCGATAACGGAGGACTGAAACAAGCCTACAGAGTAAGTAGAACGTAATACTGTAAACATTTTCCTTTCTGCAATATATTTTCTCGCTTTCTTTTACTTAACACAGGCGTACAAAAAATGGGTGAGCAGAGAAGGAGAAGAATTAAGCCTACCGGGTTTAAATCTAACACACGATCAGTTATTTTTCCTTAACTACGCACAGGTTTGAACTGTTTGTCATCTTAACTGCCAAATTCATTTAGTTGAATAACAAAAGACGTCTTTTAAAAACAGATCTGGTGTGGATCGATGAGACCGGAAGAAGCCAAGAATAAAATAAGTTCTTCGGTTCACAGCCCTGGTCCAATCAGGTACTAAAGAATATCGTTTTCTCGCAACGCTCATCAATTTTGCTAATTATTTTATTTACGCAGGGTTATAGGTCCACTCTCAAATTCTTTTGATTTTGCAAAAGCTTACGACTGCGTTCCGGGCAGTAGAATGAATCCGATAAAGAAATGTTCCGTTTGGTAGAATGTTTTCAAGTGGCAGAAAATCAAACACATCCAAAATTTAGTAAATATCGTCAAATAAGACAGGAAATTATAAATTTAATTAAAAACATCTCCCGATCAATATTTCAACTCTGGCTTAATTTATAAACATCCGGACGGTGTTCTTGAAGAAATCCTTGTTTGATTTTCTATGTATTTGCACACAAATAATTCTGATGAGTGTTTCCGTTATTTTAAAATATTTATTTACAGTGACGTTTTCAAACAATAACAATGCGGACTGTGCAAGACGAGTCCACCTGAAAGATCCACTACGATGGCAATGTACAGTACAACCTAATTATCATATCATGCATATATATAAAGAACGAAAACCTTTACCGTATCACATATATACATATATATTACGTATTTGTATTTATTCTATGTAAATATTGAATGAAATTATTGTACAATGTACTTATACTTTCAAATGTATTTTATTAAGTATTGTTAAATGTTCCATTTTATCTTCCACATTTTGCTTTTGTATTCTTTGTCAGTAGACCCGTTTCCGTGTGCCTTTATATGCTTATAAATAATTTCTTTTGTGTACAGAATTATACAATTTACAATTATAAATAAATATATATAAATAAATACCCCCAACTATTCCTTGTAAAAATCCATTTAATTGTTATATATTTCATATNCGTACAACATGGAATTCATATAAAACGGAATTATCAACAGTGTTATAGGGGGGTCGACTTGTATAACCAGAAACTTTCCAGCTTCTTTCAACTTTATTCTCTCTCGGACGAATTTTAAATGCCGATTTTGTACGTGACGAGCGTTCACTTTGTCACGAATTATGCTACGCCATTATCATTATTATTATTACTATTACAAATAAGAAAGATAAGAAATATTATATAATAATTATAAAATAATAAATAAGAAATCGTAAAAATAGATTTCTGAAACTTTGCTCTTACGATCTATTTCTTTGTGGATGACTCGATCGAGATCCATTTTGATCTTTACACTTGGTGGCGAATCGATAGTAAACCTTTAATAACGAGTTAATTTTACTCGGATTGAACCGAAGCTTCCACACGCGTAGCTATATTGATCCAAAAACGGCAACTGTTCGATAAGCCGAATTAAAATGAGCAACCGCTCTTCTAACTTTAACTGAGCAAATATTTTCCTCCACATTTATTGAAACACGCAAACGTGCACTTAAAAAGTCATTCCAGTTTTGATAATTATTGAGCATCGTTCTACTTAATTTCTAAGAATTATATATGCAAAATAACTTTCAAACATAAATATAGTAAAATAAAAATGCCGCGACAATATCTTTATTCATTGACTATAATTGTTATCTTATAATTAACATAATTACAAAGGAAGTTTATACTTTGATAGGAAATTNATTAAAACGATAAAGTCGGAGGTGTTCGTAATAATACCGCGCCTATTTATAGATCTGAGGGGAGTAAACCCAAAGTGACGTACCCTAGCAAACAAGCAATACGCACACAAATGTGGTTTCAGAAAGAATTTATTTCATATACGCAAACGAGGACGTGCTGTAATGAATGGCACTTTCCAGACTAGGATTTTGTTTAAAGAAATTATAAAAATAAAAACATAAACCATCTCGGTGTGTCATTTTGCCGCGTACTTGTAGCAAAATGACGTAGTAGGCGAAAATATCTACTCGTTGCATAATCACAAACGTTTTGCGTGTCGAGTAAGTCCAACACATTCTATACAACTCCATTTCTTGCCCTTTGTATACCGAATCCAAGTCTCCTTCGACAGAGATTGAAGATACAACTCTTATAATATATAAAAGACAAACACTAGTGACCGAGTGGATAAAACCACCGAACGCGGTCACGCGTTTACACGTGAAGTTTTCCCGGTCTTCTGCACGTTTCTAACACCTAAATATGAGCCAGTTTCCCGTAGAAAGTTCTTCCGAAATTCTCCCCTTGGAGATCATCCGCATGTTCCGTTGCCCATTAATTCTGCAATCCTTTTTATTGATTTCGAAAACCAGTTCGGTCTGCTGCTCTCTCCTTTCTAGTTATTGGGAAAAAGTATCGACTCATTAGTATATGCATAAACACGTTTAAGAGCAAACCACATTGTATCATTGTGTCCTTGGGGAATAGTGTACAAAAAGTTGGCAACACATATTCGTGGAAAATCTATTTTAAAAAAATGCAATAAGCAAGCCAAAAAGGAAAAACCTCTAACATCTGCAGTTTCGAATATTTCACATAACCCAGAAGAATTACAATTCTGCTCACGATCACTAAAAGTTGCTCATTGGCAAGCACAATAGCCATTTGGAGAAGGGAATTCTCTGTCTCATAATCTTCAGTGAACAAGAATAAAATATTTCCCAAATATTTTTGATGTTTCGGAATCAGAATATCACGCTTGTTACTCTATCAACAAATGTAAATATTTCATTAAACTGTTTAACTTGAAATTTTCTGACTTCACATTACATATCTACATAATAAAAAATTCAAGAATTTTATGTACGAATTTATATGGTTATTACAAGTAAGATATATGAGAAAGACATTAATTAACCGTCACATCCAACCGGGTCGTCGATAAAGATTTGTATTGTATTATTAATTTCAATATTCTCAGTTAAATCTCAAAGAGAAACATTGTCTTATTTGTGACTCGTTTAGATCACTGAATTATGGAGGAATCGGAGTGGTTATCGGACACGAAATTACCCACGGATTTGACGACAAAGGTAAAGACTACCAAATAAACTTGGTGTAGACATTTACTATACGTGACAGGTATTGCATTAATTAAATGGAGATGCTAACTATCACAAATCCTATTTCCAGGTCGGCAATTCGACAAAGACGGAAATTTAAAGCAGTGGTGGAATAACGCAACCATTAACAGATTCCGAGAGAGAACTCAATGCATCATCGATCAGTATTCCAGCTACGTTCTAGAAGACACAAATTTAAATGTATCTATAACAATGCATTAAATCGGACGTATCGACAGTTACATCGCTAACAGATAGATTTTCTTACAGGTAAATGGGAAAATGACTCAAGGCGAAAACATAGCCGATAACGGAGGACTGAAACAAGCCTACAGAGTAAGTAGAACGTAATACTGTAAACATTTTCCTTTCTGCAATATATTTTCTCGCTTTCTTTTACTTAACACAGGCGTACAAAAAATGGGTGAGCAGAGAAGGAGAAGAATTAAGCCTACCGGGTTTAAATCTAACACACGATCAGTTATTTTTCCTTAACTACGCACAGGTTTGAACTGTTTGTCATCTTAACTGCCAAATTCATTTAGTTGAATAACAAAAGACGTCTTTTAAAAACAGATCTGGTGTGGATCGATGAGACCGGAAGAAGCCAAGAATAAAATAAGTTCTTCGGTTCACAGCCCTGGTCCAATCAGGTACTAAAGAATATCGTTTTCTCGCAACGCTCATCAATTTTGCTAATTATTTTATTTACGCAGGGTTATAGGTCCACTCTCAAATTCTTTTGATTTTGCAAAAGCTTACGACTGCGTTCCGGGCAGTAGAATGAATCCGATAAAGAAATGTTCCGTTTGGTAGAATGTTTTCAAGTGGCAGAAAATCAAACACATCCAAAATTTAGTAAATATCGTCAAATAAGACAGGAAATTATAAATTTAATTAAAAACATCTCCCGATCAATATTTCAACTCTGGCTTAATTTATAAACATCCGGACGGTGTTCTTGAAGAAATCCTTGTTTGATTTTCTATGTATTTGCACACAAATAATTCTGATGAGTGTTTCCGTTATTTTAAAATATTTATTTACAGTGACGTTTTCAAACAATAACAATGCGGACTGTGCAAGACGAGTCCACCTGAAAGATCCACTACGATGGCAATGTACAGTACAACCTAATTATCATATCATGCATATATATAAAGAACGAAAACCTTTACCGTATCACATATATACATATATATTACGTATTTGTATTTATTCTATGTAAATATTGAATGAAATTATTGTACAATGTACTTATACTTTCAAATGTATTTTATTAAGTATTGTTAAATGTTCCATTTTATCTTCCACATTTTGCTTTTGTATTCTTTGTCAGTAGACCCGTTTCCGTGTGCCTTTATATGCTTATAAATAATTTCTTTTGTGTACAGAATTATACAATTTACAATTATAAATAAATATATATAAATAAATACCCCCAACTATTCCTTGTAAAAATCCATTTAATTGTTATATATTTCATATTCATCTAGATGTACATATGTATCAGGAATTTCATATATATAATTTTACTTATAAAAACTTTGTCTATGTTGAGTTATGTGGTTACGGCATGTATATATTTTTTAACATATTTCCATCAAAATATCAGATAAACAAAATTTTATTTAAATTATAAACAAATGTAATTTGATTTCTATACTTCTGATGTCTTTTTTTACTATTTCAATTTATGTCTATGTTAAAAGAGTACAAATCAAAAATTAGTCGTTAAGTCATGGAATTCTATGTTCATTGTTAAAGTTTTACTTTGTATAAATAATAAATTTTGTGTTGCAAACAATAACGCTTTGTTTGAATAATATCAAAACACATTACTAATCACATTATCTATATATATTGTTTCTTTTTATCTTGTGCAATATCTCGCAATCGGAACTTTCATCAAAGTGACTGAAAGCATTAAATATTTCATTAAACTGTTTAACTTGAAATTTTCTGACTTCACATTACATATCTACATAATAAAAAATTCAAGAATTTTATGTACGAATTTATATGGTTATTACAAGTAAGATATATGAGAAAGACATTAATTAACCGTCACATCCAACCGGGTCGTCGATAAAGATTTGTATTGTATTATTAATTTCAATATTCTCAGTTAAATCTCAAAGAGAAACATTGTCTTATTTGTGACTCGTTTAGATCACTGAATTATGGAGGAATCGGAGTGGTTATCGGACACGAAATTACCCACGGATTTGACGACAAAGGTAAAGACTACCAAATAAACTTGGTGTAGACATTTACTATACGTGACAGGTATTGCATTAATTAAATGGAGGTGCTAACTATCACAAATCCTATTTCCAGGTCGGCAATTCGACAAAGACGGAAATTTAAAGCAGTGGTGGAATAACGCAACCATTAACAGATTCCGAGAGAGAACTCAATGCATCATCGATCAGTATTCCAGCTACGTTCTAGAAGACACAAATTTAAATGTATCTATAACAATGCATTAAATCGGACGTATCGACAGTTACATCGCTAACAGATAGATTTTCTTACAGGTAAATGGGAAAATGACTCAAGGCGAAAACATAGCCGATAACGGAGGACTGAAACAAGCCTACAGAGTAAGTAGAACGTAATACTGTAAACATTTTCCTTTCTGCAATATATTTTCTCGCTTTCTTTTACTTAACACAGGCGTACAAAAAATGGGTGAGCAGAGAAGGAGAAGAATTAAGCCTACCGGGTTTAAATCTAACACACGATCAGTTATTTTTCCTTAACTACGCACAGGTTTGAACTGTTTGTCATCTTAACTGCCAAATTCATTTAGTTGAATAACAAAAGACGTCTTTTAAAAACAGATCTGGTGTGGATCGATGAGACCGGAAGAAGCCAAGAATAAAATAAGTTCTTCGGTTCACAGCCCTGGTCCAATCAGGTACTAAAGAATATCGTTTTCTCGCAACGCTCATCAATTTTGCTAATTATTTTATTTACGCAGGGTTATAGGTCCACTCTCAAATTCTTTTGATTTTGCAAAAGCTTACGACTGCGTTCCGGGCAGTAGAATGAATCCGATAAAGAAATGTTCCGTTTGGTAGAATGTTTTCAAGTGGCAGAAAATCAAACACATCCAAAATTTAGTAAATATCGTCAAATAAGACAGGAAATTATAAATTTAATTAAAAACATCTCCCGATCAATATTTCAACTCTGGCTTAATTTATAAACATCCGGACGGTGTTCTTGAAGAAATCCTTGTTTGATTTTCTATGTATTTGCACACAAATAATTCTGATGAGTGTTTCCGTTATTTTAAAATATTTATTTACAGTGACGTTTTCAAACAATAACAATGCGGACTGTGCAAGACGAGTCCACCTGAAAGATCCACTACGATGGCAATGTACAGTACAACCTAATTATCATATCATGCATATATATAAAGAACGAAAACCTTTACCGTATCACATATATACATATATATTACGTATTTGTATTTATTCTATGTAAATATTGAATGAAATTATTGTACAATGTACTTATACTTTCAAATGTATTTTATTAAGTATTGTTAAATGTTCCATTTTATCTTCCACATTTTGCTTTTGTATTCTTTGTCAGTAGACCCGTTTCCGTGTGCCTTTATATGCTTATAAATAATTTCTTTTGTGTACAGAATTATACAATTTACAATTATAAATAAATATATATAAATAAATACCCCCAACTATTCCTTGTAAAAATCCATTTAATTGTTATATATTTCATATTCATNTGTATCCACAAGCACTCCAATAAATAAATAGAATTGAAACGACACTTTGAAATGTTTTACCGATGAAAATGAATAATAATAATAAGTTTCAATAAAAATAATAAAATGTAAATTTAATTTTATCGTAACGAGTTTGCTTGAATTTCCTTTCTTCTGAGATCGCAGCAATGCGCGACGGGTAAGCTAGTACAATATAATTGTTTCTTTTTATCTTGTGCAATATCTCGCAATCGGAACTTTCATCAAAGTGACTGAAAGCATCGGCCATGAGGTCTTGCTGTTTCTGGCCACCAATTAAATGACGAGGCCAAAAATCACGTTTCCGCTGGCTAACTACTTTGAATTTCAGTACACATTTGAAAGGAAGACGAGATAGACATTTACACAAATCTGCCATCTAGCAAAATGCAATGTCGTATAGTACTGTACACAAAGCTCGTATTCTCAGAACCATGATTTGGATGTCATCTATGTTCATATATGCATAAATCCCCATTCGATTCTGCATACGCGTATGCAGAATCGAATGGGGATTTTTTTGGTTGATGTTGTAAACCAGCGCTGTCCAACTGGCGGCCCGCGGGCCGTATACGGCCCGCGGGCCGCCAGTTGGACAGCGCTGTTGTAAACGATTTTCAACATATATGTATAACTACAAAAAAATGCATATAAATTATATTAAAATTAGCAGACGAGCCCGGCGTTGCTCGGGCAAAAAGTAACGATAGCAAAGATTATTATTAGATTATAGCCCGGTGAAAACAAGTAATGTTTTCACCGGGTGCAAGAATTAGGTCCCCTCTCTTCCGAAACTAATTAGAGAATTTTTAGATATCTACTTACCACACTGGAATAACGATAATTAATTAAGGGATAATAATAGGGTTTCTCATTTCCCGGTCTTTTGCTTGTCCCGGGATTTCGGGGAAAAAAGTGAACTGTTTCCCGGAATTTCCGGAATAGAATTAATTATTTTTAAGATATACAAATACAGTAGAGCATCGTTTATCCGAATCAATTATGGACTGGAATTGTTCGGATAACTTATTTTTCGGATAACCGATTACGTACGAAAAAATATATTAATCTATCCCGTGTTGAAATTTTTCTCCGTTGCGTGTCGCTTCGCGTTAAATTTTCGTCGATGTTAAGCCTAACGAAGACTATTGTAACGAAGACCAGAATTAATACATTGAATATTTATGTTATTTTTCTTTTATTGTTTTATTTTAATTTTTAAATATTCTTCCGTTATTTTTTTCTCTTGTAAAATTTTTGATTTAATTTTTATGTTCTATTCATGGAACATTTACGTTCCATTTTAGTTTTCAACCTGCAGATGGCCTATCAATTAGGCTGAAAACGTTTGTTGTTTAAAATTATGTTTATTTCTCGGCAAAAAAGGTGTTTTGTTTCTCTTTATTTAGTTGCTGAGCGCTTTTGATATTGATATTGACTATTGTATCGTTAAAAATTATTTTTTTATTTTGTACAAACAAAATAAATATATTGAAAAATATAAAAACAATAAAAAAAATTATACTTCAGAAGTTAATTTAGTATCAAAAACGTAAAATATTTGAGTAGCCGAAGACATAGCCAAAGATTACAGCGCCACAGTACTGGCGAAAATTTAAATTTGTCGACTAATTCCTTCGGATAACCGACGATTCGGATAAACGACGCTCTACTGTACCTTTAAATCAAATGATATTAAATTACTTTAAAAAACGAAAAATTATACGTTATGCAACCTCAAAAATCATATTAATAATGCTGTGTAGGATATATATTAAAACTTACCTTTGAATTATGTAGAAATTTTCACAAATAGAAAAAAATTTTATTAGTTTGCTGTAACTGCAACGACCAAAAAGATAAAAAATAAAATGCTTTGAATTGAGTTGAAAATTTTAAAAAAATGAACTTTGATCAAACTTCTAATTTAAAAGGTAATTTTCGTTTTTTAAATAAAACAAAAATTTATAATATTTTGTATTAAGATTTTAAAAAGCAAAGATGGTCGGTACTCCAATCACTCAATCTGATCCTTATTTTAGTAATGAAAAGTCCCGCTACCGAGAATGCTCTTTCCGACTCAATTGATGCGAGTGGAATCGTGTTTAGTGCATTTAAAGAGAAGACAGATATTATATGTTTTTTCGCCCGTAGCCTAGAATATTTCTAGTTCGTTTTCGAGATTGTAGTACTTCTTTTGCTCTCTAGTATTCTTGATTTTTCTACCTCGGTTGCTTTAATAGAAACATCGAGCTTATAGCCCAATAATTCGGCAGTTCGTTCGCCTTTAATAATCACGTTTATGAAGAAAAACTTCGTACTCGTTTGTATCCCTGCCCAATTTGCACAAACTGGCGTTACGCAGTTATCGAAGCTACCGGGCATGATTAAAAATTAAGACAGCGTAAGCGCAATTATTCCAGATATTACAGATTCTTACAAAGAATTTTCAGAGTCCTGCCACAAATAAGCTACGTGTTGATTATTGACCATTTGTGACATTCTATAACGAACAAAAATTTTAAAAACTAATAGGTAGGTTTAAAATTAATAAATACAAATGTATTCTGACAGTTTATCAGTTAATTATACTTTCTTTTTGCAAAATTTCCTCAACCTTAACACAAAATAGGAAATAAGTTAACTTTTAAGAAATTTGCGGGACTTCTCGGGTTAATTAGGTTTGAGAAACCCCAATTAAGACTCACTGCAACCACTAACCGGTGCGTAGTGTCATTAACTTTTAAGTGATGAATAACAAACGTTTTCGTAACCCCATCTGGGTTCTTCTTCAGGATTACTTAATTCCAAAAATAAGTTTGATCTTCCAGAATCATTCATAAATATAAATTCGAACATGAAATCGAACATTAAGACGGAGAGTTCGAATAAAGCGAACTTATGCGCTCTCCCCGTGTCGACTTTAAATACGATGGAACACTAAATATCGTTGAGAACTTTTAGAAGGGTATAAAAATATGTTCGATTTTCTGCAAAAATTGGTCTCTAAAATAGTACATTAGAAGCCGAGTTCGGGGTAACCCTCTCCCTCGCAAAGAAATTCCCAAAAATCCCTTCTTACTGTGCATTCTCGTGGCATATCCTATTAAAACGCAGTAAAAACACAAAAATCCGCATCCAAAATAGTATATTAGAAGCGGAGTTCTTCGGGTTAAGACTTACCCTCTCCCCTGCGTGGGGATTTTCGAAAAACCCCTTCTTAGTGTACGTTCTCATGACCGTGTACAAAATTTTAACTTTCAACTCCTAACCGTTTGGGCTCTGCGCTTATTATCATCATCAATCCATCTCGATTATATATTAAGATTTATTAAATTGAATATCTTATTGTTGAAATGCCTCGAATCTGAAATAAACTGTTATTAAGTAAGGTTTTAAATCGAAATAATGAGAAATGTTTTTAAATTGAATGTTCAAAACAAAATTTCGTGAAACCTCTTCCAGAGAACAAAGGGGTGCACTGATTGGACTTGCTCCAGTGCGCTGAATATGTAGCTACGCCACTGATTAATAAATATTAATTTAAACAAGGTATGTCTAGTTAATCTGCAGACTCGCGGATTTCAGGTTTGAATAAAACCTAAAGCAACAGAATATCGGACATTTAAAACTGCAGAACTCAAGTTTCATTCTCGCTTTAGGTGTACTGTACAAAAGAAAAAAAAAACAGTACGACGAATTCTGCATAAATACATATTGTTATTATTGAGAAATTTCTATCGGAAGTATGAAAGAGAAAGTGTGTCTATGATGACATTTACTCAAAATTTGGCTTTTTGGTCAATTTAAAAAATTTAAATGAAAACAATTAGAAAGAATGCTGAAGAATTATGTAAAACACACGTTGACGATCTAAAAAATAATTTTATCGAAGAATGTCTTCATTTTAAAACATGTTTATTTATGTGAAGCTAAAGAAAATACAGTATATCTACTGCTGAATCGTTATTAGCATTTACATTTTTTTAAATGAAACTCGTCCCTACTTTCAAAGCTTTTTGCCATTTTATAATAATTAATTATATAAAAAGAAATATTTAAAATAAAATTTTTTAACAATGGCAGATAATACTTCACACACTAATGTTAACTAAGTAAATTTACACAGCAGCACAACAGAGGGCAAACATTTTTGCCTTTTTTTTTTAATTATAAAATTTATGTTAAAAATAATAAGTTTTTATAATGTTCTTTGAACTAAGTACAAAATTTCTATGTGGAACTTACATACAGGAACACTTTTTGATGATCAAAAAGTGTTCCTGTATGATAAATTCTGCATAGCAATTCTGTACTTCTTTCCAAAGAACAAAAGAGAAAACAAGAAGTAATCAAGTACTAAATTTTATAATGTTATTTAAGCATTATAAAAAAGTAAACATGCACTATTTTTCTTATTGTTNGTCCCGTAACAGTTTGATAACGGACACTAGAGGCGCCCCTATCGTGTGTCATATTTCAAACATGCAAATTAACAATTTTAATTCTTATTTAAATAAACAATATGAATTATTATTCATTTGGCCAATAAATTATTATTTGGTCAATATAACAATATAAATAATTCAGTATATTTGTAATAGGAATTTATTATTTCAGGGGCTTATATCTCGCGAAGGATCGCGAGTAGGGGTATGGTTCCTTTTCCTTTATTGTTCGCACAGGGGGCTACAGTTTGGGGGGTCGCCACCTCTTCACCTAATCTTACCATTGGAACTTTAACAGAGCTGTAGAGCATATTGATAGAAACAAAAAAGTCAAAGGAACCGTGCTTCATGGAAATTTGTAAACAACGCCCACTAGGGGCGTCCCGGGCTACTAGTATATATATAGATGACAGAAAATTAATCTATATATAGGTTAATATTCTGTCATTTTTATTGTCAAATATGTTTTTTTCCTTTACCTCTTTCTGGTCCTTGGGACAGTGGCGTAGCGTGGGTGTCAGCCGCACGAGGCGGAGGAAAATTGGCCCCCCTTATTTAGGTATCTCAATTTAAGACTAAAATTCAGTTTCGTCACAGAATAAGCAATGAAAAATTCTGTGTAGTGTTGCCACCTTATTAAAATCGCTGACCCGGGCGGCAGGTGGTTTGTTCGAATAAAGTTTCTGACGCATGCGTATGTCATTTTGCAATGCGAAGAATAACGTGCAGTGCATGCTGGTTGTAAATCAGTTAAGTTAACGACTAGGGAGACTTGGATAGGAGTAACGCGAGTGACCTAGCTGTATTGAATATTGGAGGTATTGTATGTACAGTATATACATACATACACACCTATATATATATATATATATATACGAATAACTCGTACAAGCAAAAAAAAGTCAACAGGTTGCGCACGATATCCCCGGACAGCGAGTCGATTCCCGGACTGTCAGGATGGAGGTAACACTATTCCGTGCTCATTTCAATCGGTCAGAGTCGTAGGTGGACGACGATATGAAATAAAATGGTTCAAATTCTTACAAAACATTACTATTATTTATTGTGAAATTTTGCCGCCCCCACCACGCTACGCTACTGCCTTGGGAAGGCGGCCTTTTTTCATATACATCGTGGATTTGATCGGGCTTACGAGGATGACCGGATGGCGAGAGAGGGAACCCGACATATCCGTAATAGACCGCCCACGAAATATTCCTGGGATTTTTCAACCATCCGGATTAGATCACGAGTCTCCACAGTGGTATTTGATGCCTCAATTGTTTCGGCAATCTAGCCATCAAATATCAGGTTTTAAAACCAACACCAATCTCTAAAAAAAAAATCAGAAGTTAAATAATAATAATACAGTAAAACTTCAGAAGTTGGACACCTCTCTCTAACCCGGACACTTTGAATCCTCACTACCTTAGTGAGGTTTTAGTTTGAACGAATTGACATAAAAATCATCATACAGTATAATATTTACGAAGTTCTCCTTCCATTAGTGTTTTGTTGGATTAACTTATTCCACTTTAGTGTAGTCGTAGTGTTAGAGCTTTTGAAGAGATTATAGTTGTTTGGAAAGCGAACTGACTCAAAAACGACAAACGATTCGGTTTTAAAAACATTTATTTTGTTTGGAAAATCAAAGCAATATCAGCAATTGTCGTGTCTGTCGACAGAAGCGAACATCGACGTAGTACTAATATCTTGTTCGTAACACCGGTGGAAAATATCAATAGTTATGGAATAGCTTAAGAAAATACATTATAAAATTCATTGGTTTGAACCGACACTTTCTAATAATGAAATAATTCTTAAATTACTAATTGTAATCGTCTCGTTAGCAATCTTAAGAAAGAAAACGTGATACTTTTTATGAGGGAAGACAAACAATCTTACTTAGATCTACATTTACAATCAATAATCATTTTATATTTTCATAGAAATATATCTAGACACTTTTAAGCTTTTTTTATACACAGTTTTCATGTTTGCTTCTCAGAAGATCGGAGAGTGAATTTTTTTTCAAAGCGTAACTTTAGGGATGTAACCTATTTACAAAAACTATGCCTGTCACCAATTTTAACCGTTGAAATAGTAACCAAATTACCGGAACGTGAGAGCATATATATATATATATACACACACACACACACGCCGGTAGAAAAGCCAAAGCATACGCGGGTCAGACGGCTAAGCTCTGCAAAAATGACTGAACTGTTTCGGGTGACAAATATCACAATGAATAACAATGGTAGCGTAGCCGTCTCGCTAATGTGCCATTTTATAATATTTCTACGGAGCACCATTATTTTACAAATAATAAGGAATCGGCATTTTCTAGATTTGCCGTAAACATCTCCATTAATTAACAATATATTCTAATATATTTTAATAAGTGCAACAAAATAATAAAAAAAAATGTACATTACTACACCTGTTTACAATAAATAAGAAGCTCGGTTTCTTCAATTATGCACACGAATATATGATCCTATATAACAACTTAAGTATGCATAATTTGCTTATTGATTTTTTTAATAGTAAATAATATAAAAGTATAATTAAATAACAACATACAAATATTTACTAATATATAAAATTAACATTTTTTTATCCACATATATATAGGAATCATTCCATTAATCTCATCTTTATATATATATATATATATATATCTTTTTCGAAACAATATTAATACGTGTGTAAAATAAAAGGAAGTATTTCTTTATGTAAATTATCGAGCTGCATAAATTTCTGTCTGGTAACAAACTAGAATATTTCGAGAGGTTGTTTCGAGTCTTCGTTGCAGATGTTATCACTTCCGCAATTATTACAATGTTGCTTTCACTAATTATTATGTTATCCCCGAAAGAATTATTATTAAGGATAAAATCTCTTCTCCTCATTAACAATTTAAATCTATCGTATATATTTAACTTACATTCCATTCATTGCTAATTTCGAACAGAGTTCGCTTCTTTGCACTCAGTTCGAGCAATTCGTAAATAAATGTTAAGAGCATGAATTCTGTAAATTTTGATACCTGTAACCAATTTGATAATTATGTAATAATAATAGGACTGAAGAGGGGCATTAAGCCCGAAATGCATATCCGTCCAAGTCAATAAAGCAACCCTTTTTCCTCTTAAAGTGTTCCTGTATGATACGTTCTCAACAGCAACATTGTGCTAACCAAACACAAATGTTAAGAGCATTTCACATTTAAATTGTGAGCAAACAATAATACATAAAATAAATTTATCTCTACACTATTCTCTTGAATTTTCATTCATCGTTCTATTACTTATTCTTATTACAATGGATTACGTATTAGTAAACGAAAATACTTAATTGTAATGAAATTAATTAACTTACAATTACAATTTAGTTAATTAAAGAAAAGAAATACACATTACAATCCAGCATATTTTATTAAAATAATAAATACTCTCTCTTCTTGTAAAGAGCGTGTTTTAGATAAACGGCTAAATTACAGTTTAACACGTATAATTTGGCTATTTAATAGTAATAAGCCCTTTAAAAGATCCGAAAATATCTTTATTTTGATAAAGATGTGCTGGATTAGGATAACGTGTATTTTCTCTAAAGATTATTTACTAATAAATTAGAGATTGTAACAATAATCTACGTCAAAACATACAGGGTGGCCCAAAATTCAATTAACAGATATATTTTTAAATTATTTTAACAATGGCTAAAACACGTTGAAACAACTGCAACAATTGTTCCAAACCAGTTTTAACCGTTCTTAAAATAACATTAAAATGTATCTCGGTTAACTGACTTGGTTCATTCCTTATTTATGGCCACATCCTGTCAGAAATGTGTAACCATGAAAATTTATTCATCAGAAATTACTTTACGTAGAATCTGGTTAAAAGTCAAGTATTTTGTCAAGTTAAAAATTATTTCTTAATTAAAATAAACAGACGATACAATAACATTTGTCAATCGTCGTATTTCCGTTCCATTGTTACGGTTGTATACGTCATCAGAACAATTTGTATTCGGAAACAATAACCCCGACACATGACCAGTTTGTTAGGAACATTTCTTATTTATGAACGTGACTACGACGATACAGACTCTCAATTAACTGTACAAAATTACAAAAAGTAATGGCAACGACACAAACATAAAATTATAAACAATGCCTCTAATGGCAACATCTATGTACATAGTTAGGCTTGGGCAAAAGCAAGCGGAGTTTAAGCTTTTATACCTAAAGAATCGGGAGTCTCAGTCTATCTCCGTAAAGGTGAGCTTGACATCTACTAAAACTGAAGTATTATTTGTTTGCTAAATACTTAATCCATAGAAGATCGTACAGAATTAGGAGTAGAATATTTAGTCTAACTCTTCAAAAATACAATGAGACAGAAGTCTTTCTTTAGTCAGTTTGTGTGACATTTCTTTACACTTTTCTAACAGAGAAAGATCTTTTATAGGAGACACTGGTAGTTTTCTCTGTACAAAATTTCAGAAAAATTATAAACAATTAGGAATATAATCTTGTATTAATTAGTAAATTTATTTATTTAGATTTAAATAAACTAGTTATATCAAAATTTACTATTTTAAAAATTAAATTCTCTCTTTATTATTATTACCAGGTATAGGCAATAAATTCCTGGACTAATGACAGTATACAAAAGAAAGTGAATGTAAGTTTTATTTAGATGTGCTCCCTTTAAAATAATCCTCCTCTGCTATGATGCACTTTTGTCATCTTACGTACAACTGCTAGAAACATTTCTAAGTATTTTTCAGAATCCGTTGGAGTGTGGCATTGAAGCCTTGATAACATCATCTAAACTGCCAAACCGCTCTAGACGTTTTTGGTGTATGGCCTTGCACAGACAGCACAAATTGCTCTTTGTAAGCTGATGAGGGGTCCTTGTACCTGAAATGCATACTTACCTAAATTTGAAATGTGATTATTAAAGACCAACCCTTTTTTTATAAAAGTTCTGGTCCTTCTTTCTGTCGGCCTTGGTGTGATAAGCCCTGCAAATTGTTATACCCTATTTATTAGGTTATCTAATTCTGTCTAAATTGCTCTTTGTTGACTTTTGCTCTGCCAAGAATGAAATCTGTCATGGAATTCATAACAGAAAGAGCAACAGTTAACAAGTAGTAATACATCACAGTCAAAGACTATAAAAATCTTGTCCGCAATGTGGATAAGATTTTTACACTTCTGACATGAATTTTCCTGTTCATCTGTCCTGGTAGCAATTTTTGGATCTGGTGATGCCACACTGCCGATTTGCATTTTGTCTGAGGACTATAGAGAAAGCACCATGTTTCATCACCTGCAAATACACAGTGTAAGAATGTCAAATCATTATCTGTTTCCGTGATCAAATCTCCACAAATTATCTTCCAGTCTTCACACTGGTCTAGTGTCATGTGTAAAAGAACTTGGAACACATGGAACATGTTCAATTGTGTAAGATTGGCATCAACTTCTGTGAGAAATGTTGAGCCATTTGGCAATACTATTGACAATCTGACAACAGATTCTTGCATGCAGAGGCTTTGTAGCTTTCAAATGTTGTCCTTGGTCCCAAATGTAACTGGATAACTGATGCACTCGTCGTCGTCGTCAAGCATTTCTCGACCATCCTTTGACCAACAGTGCCACCCAAACACTATGCTTTGATTCAGTGCCTCATCACTGGAAACTTGACAAAACAATTAAAAAATCATAACTGCAGACTGAGTCTTTGGAAGAGTTTGCACATTGTTCAAAACTTAACATTTTTTTCAATTTCACCAAAATATCTTAACCTACATCCAAAACATGCTGTGCTACAAAACTACAGCAACTGCATTTGAAAAAAAAATTGGGTCACTAAATACAAAACTGATGATTTTACATGTTATCTACAGCATAATTAGCAAAAGAGTTCATCTGCCATGCCGTCCAGGAAATTACTAATTGTACCTGGTATAATTAAAAGCAGTTCAAAACATATATGCTACAGTTCATAATTAAAGTACACTATATGTTTTATCAATGCAATTCAATCCTATTTTATGTAAATCATTCTTTCATAAAGAAAATGTCTTACCTCTTTTTTAAATTCAATAATTGCATATTAATTTAATGACTTTTTTATTGTTTTTACTGTATCATTACATTTACATATAATTATTGACTTTAAAAACTGTTAATTAAAGATTTATAAGTAAATCATGTATGTATATATAGCCTTACTTTGAGAAGTCATGAAGTAATCTTATTTTTAAAATAAATAATTTGAAACAGCACAGTTCAAAATCAATTGGCTCATATTTGCAATATTTTGCCAGCCATGTCTATACAGTACTTTATGTTTAAGAAGTAACAAAAAACAAAAAAAGCTGGAACAAAATGGACAGTAAAAAGGTATTTGAGTAAGGAAAATGATAAATTATAAACAGTAATTGTCATGTGATATGAGTTGTTAATACATGTTACAAGAAGGGTTCTCCTTATAAAGTGGCCTCATGTATAGGGTGGTCAAATTTTTTTGGATCCTGAGCCCATATTAAATATTGAGTCACCACTGTATATAAAATAACAACATTAAACACTTTGTAATTTAATTAGAGTAAATCAGATAAAGAATTTCTTTAGAAATCTTAATTTAATATAAAATATCATCAAATATAAAAATTTAGAAAGTGCAATACCATTTGATACAGATTGTCAAATGTATATTTACAATGACTATAATTTGAATATTTTCAACTTATTTCAATTTTTTTTTATGGTAAAACTTAATTAAAAACGAAATACCTTATATATTTCTTCCCATTTATAAAACAACACATTCAGAAATCTCTCTCTTTCATCCGAGCATCCAAAGAACAAAATCCATTCTCCACTACATCTGTCTGCTTCACCCGATTCAAATTCCTATAACAAATTTAACAATGTTTGTTAATTTAATGAAAGTCAATAAATGAAAAAGTATTTTTCCTCATTAAAACTTACTAAAATGCAACATAGTGAAGCATCATCTTCCACATATGCATGCAACAGATCACATATATTTGCACAACCTAGCAATTCATGCATTTGCTTGTAATTCTTCCCTTGAAGAGTCAAAATAGAGTCGTTGGCAAGAACGATACAACAGGTTTGATAAGTTGGTTCCGGATCAAAGAACTGAAATAAACATTTTAAAATACACATTAATGTTTAAAAATACTAAAAATTTGTATTTTAAATAATTTCAATTAACAAACATGGCCAGCTTGACAGACTGCTTGAAGAAATGACTGAAGCCATACTGAAGCATCATAATCATCTGCAGCAGCTAATTGTAAAGAGTCTTCTTTAGAAACTATCAGTTCAAAAACGTGTGGTCTGTCGGCATAAGGCAGACGACGACATCCTTTGCAATGAGGAACACTAATAATATAATAATAGTAAAATTAAAGAGTGCCTTGAGAATTCTCAAAAAGAAAAAAAATAAACATTTAAACAAGTTATCTGTTTTCTTACCATAACTGCACATAAAATTTCACATCTTTTTCAGATTTTGAATTAAAGCAAAACAGAACTCCATTCCTAAAATTAAAAAATAAGATAATTCAATAAAATATTGAAATTATGTAACATTTTAAAATATATGAGTAATATTCTTATTCTTCAATCTTAAAAGCAATCAATAAATAATTTGATGATTCAAACATTATCACTGTTTAAATTTAATTCTATACAAAGCCCAATTTAAAATTTTAGAACTTTTTCTCTCTCTCTCTCAAAGAAGGTTGTTATTTTGTGATATTTAATCAAGAAAAGATGAGTACTTGCATAAATTCACAACATTCAATGACGGCTCCAGATATATTTTTCTTCAATATTTGGAGTTAAGACTATTTACATAAATAAAATATTGAATATAAAATACTGAAGAAAAATATATCCAGAGTCATCATTGAATATTGTAAATTTATGCAAATGAAATGGATAACTCATACCAGAGGGATAGAAGCAGTTGTACAAATTGATGGACTTGATAGTATGGTGAGAAGATTTATTGGTTATTTTTTAATGTAAAAATGCCAGATTCTCAAATAAAAGGCTGATGTTTGATTGTTTTTAACTTTGTGAATTTTTTCCTATTATTATTCGTCTTGTTTATGAAGTTTTTTCTTCAAACCAATATAACTGTTACTTCTGTGGTTAGGTTAAAGGATTAAAAAATAGACTCGAAAATATATTTATATTTTTGTAAATGGTCTTAACTTCAAATATTGAAAAAAAAAAAAGTAAATGGATGAATAACACAATATTAAAGATGCCTTTATTTATTAACACAGTCAAACATAGCAAGGATATAATTATCATTTAAATTTAACATTTCCTGAGAAATAAGATAACAGAAATTCACTGTCTATCATTTGTTTTTCAATAATAAATTGAAATACTGTATATATTTTCCTGAAAGAAATAAAAATTAATTATAATTAATATTTGTAAAGTTTGCTCGGTGTTTTCATCTTTATTTTGTTCCCCGTACATAGGGAATTTGTACTTTGTACTAAATAAATAAATAAAAAATAATAAAAATATTTGTAAAACTATCATTTAATCCTTAAAATTTCCCTCAACTTTTATATTACTTTTTGATTTTATAATTTTTGTTTTTCTGCAAAAGGTTATATATATACCGTAATAACTTGGTTTTTGTTGAGTTTGGTTTTCGTCGACTTTTACACAAAAAATTTGTCTCAGTTTTTGTTGGCTGCTTCGGATTTCATCAGCATGCCCACATGACCTCGCTGCTAATTTTGCAAAAACAAAGAGTGACCCATGCATTTTCCTGCTCAGTGTGGCATTGTTTCTCATTGTGTGAGCATTACCCCAAGTGTCTGGCCAAACAATGGGCATATTCAAAATCTCAGCATGCAGCCAGCACCTCTGTTTAAAATCTCAGATGACTTCTGGTTGCTGCCAGCATCTTTTTTGGTGCTCAATGCAAACAAGACGGCAGCCACCATGAGGGTCATAACAGCTCTATTTTGTATTAACAATTATGAATTTAATTTATTTATAACAAATATGTACTGGAAGTAGAATAAGTTAAAAAATAAAACTACACCAATATAAATCCAGCAAAATTTAATAAAATTTTATTAAATTTTGCTGGATTTATATCAATGTAGTTTAATTTTTTAATTTATTTGTTGCTGAATAAACCCTGAATAAATTAATATTTGATTAGTACATTAATAGAATATTTTAATATATTGTACTAGTATAAGACGACATATAATTTTTTTGTAGTTGTTAAAATGTAATTTTAGGACTAATTTAATTATTTAAAACTCCTATGAAATTTAAATCTTCATCCGTATTTCTCTTTTCAAAATATTCATTTTTCATTAAGCTGTTCTCATTAAATAAGTTAAAAAATACATTTAATGTAACATGGAAGTCCATATCATTTATCATTTTTATTGTTTTTCTCTCCCAAAATTCCCAGCAGTCAGCATTTCTGTTTTATAGAAAATACCAGCAGTTGCGTCACTTACGGCAGCATCTCACTGGATTGATGCTTGGATTTTGAATATGCGCAATTCCATTGCTTTCTTTCCTTTTAGCTCCGTCATGCCATATTAAATGTTCATTCTTTACATTAGTCTTTTTAGATTCATTTTATATTAATAACTTATTGTTTTAGTATTAAACATTACAGTACAGTCATACCTCGACTTACGCTACTCCTACTTACGCAAACCCGGAGTTACGCGATTTTCAAATCTCGTCGATTCGTCTTTTGTTTGAGAGCAACGCAACTCTTGATTACTCATTCCCCCCACACTATTGTTCAACTTACATGAACGGACGTGTCGCGCGGAATCGACACATAGCTACAATTTATTTTGTGTTATTTATTTCTGTGTTTGTTATATCTAAGGAGACTTAAGAGACTCTATGTGGTGATTTCTTGTAACCATGAACAAATCAAAAGACAAGATAAGATTAACAAGAACATTTATTAGCTTGCTTACATCTGACTTGGATTTTACACAAATTTCGAAATTATACCCTGACTTACGCGAATTTGACTTACGTGGTTATTGCTCGGTCCCACCTATCGCGTAAGTTCGGGGTATTACTGTATATTTATTGTAGAAATAAATATAAATATAAAAATACAATGTTTAACAAAAGTAAATACTTAGCTTCTGTTATCCTTCCATCGTTCACTCCAGCAACAATACATAAAATTCACAAGTATGGAGGTGATCTTTCTTTAGAGGCTACTGCCTCTGCAATAAAATGCAAATATGGTAAAAAACGTCCTCTGGCGCTATTGCTAGTTTCACAACTTGTGAATTTTATGGATTGTCGCTGGAACAAATGAAGGAAGAATAACAGAGCAAAGTATTTACTTTTGTTAAACGTTCTATCTTTATATTTGTTTTTACAATTAAATGTAATCCATGGTGTTTTACTATTTTTTACTTACTATATTTATTGACAAGACTATGTCTTGTTTATAAAATCGTACTGCCTCATGTTCTTATCAGCATAGAGGTAGGAAGGAATACATGTAGAGAGTTGATATTTGGCACAGAGTATTAGGTGCTCAAATCATTTGCGCATATAAAAGTCCAGACTTGTAGGTAGTCAGGGGACCGAGAATCGAGTCAAAATAAAATCCAAAATGGCGACCCTCTTCTACAAACAGGCAAAACAGCCACCTCACCCTACCAAAGTCAGGTAGGGGAAAGTACCACCCAAAGTCATTCTAAGAAGTGAACTCTGACCTTAGGAGTGAGGGTGCCTGTGCGTGACCTTCACCCTTTGACCTCACTTTGCTCCTAAACTCTAATGAGGAAAGATATCTTTTTACTACTTTTCGATTCGACAGCCGTGCCAATCTTGGATTTATATTATATATCGACGCTATTGTAAATATCACTCTGCTGATACAAATTAGATAAATTATCAGTTTCTTAGTAAATTTTTACCGACAGAACATTCACCGAAAATGGCTCGTGGTCGAGGCAGACGAAGTTTTAATAATCATGCCTAAAAGCAGCGATATCAAAGAAGATAGGAGAATGAGAACAAGACCTGCCTTGAGCATCAAAGTGATTCCCTCTCCAAGACAGTCTTGTCCCAAATATGGTTTTTCCGTTTTATTTGTTCTCTATAAAATGCATTTTTGGTATGTATTTTGGAATGTCTAGAACAAATTAATTGGATTTACATTGATTCACCGATTGTTTTGAAATGTATTATCGACATAAATCAAGGTATCACTATATGTATTTAATAATTTCTGTGCTGAAAGTAATATTTTGCTATATATTCAATCAGAATAAAAGTATAACTTTCACTTTATTAAATTTCTCAGCACTTCAAGTTGTTATATGTATTTTGGCTCTCAAATAAAAGCTGCATTTATTCAAGGATTTCCAATAACTTAGGGAACAATGTAAAATTAATAAACACTAAAAACTATGGTAGCTAGTTAACAGAATTAGTTCATATTTGTTCAATGCAGATACAATTAATAGTATTTATTATGAATGTATAATGCTTATTAAACTCAAATCACAATTTATGTAGGTTATTTGAAAATTTTTTCCTGAAATAAAAACTTACAAAAAGAATGTTTTTTGAAATAAGTTTTTTTTAATTAAGTTTGTTTGTTACTCCCATAATATTAAGTACTGTAATATCTAAGTGCTTAAAAAAAATAAATACAGCATTTCCTCACTTAGCATCATTGATAGGTTCCTAGAAACTGTGACATTAAACACAATGACATAACAAAACTAATTTTACTATGATACTATGATACGTGAAATACTATACTGATACTATGATACGTAAAATAGTGTTTTTCTAAATCTAATTTGATGTCCTGTGGTGGTGTAATAACTCTAGCAGTAAAGTAAAACTAATTTTACCATAGGCTAATTGATATCTATATATATATAACCCATTCAACAGGTATCCGTCCGTCCGTCCCGTAACCGTTTGATAACGAACACTAGAGGCGCCCCTATCGTGTGTCATATTTCAAACATTCAAATTAACAATTTTAATTCTTATTTAAATTAATTTGGCCCATAAATTATTATTTGATCAATATAACAATATAAATAATTCAGTATATTTGTAATAGGAATTTATTATTTCAGGGGCTTATATCTCGCGAAGGATTGCGAGTAGGGTATGGTTCCTTTGCCTTTATTGTTCGCACAGGGGCTACAGTTTGGGGGGGGTCGCCACTTCTTCATTCGGAGGGTAAATCTTACCATTGGGACTTTAACAGAGCTGTAGAGCATATTGATAGGAACAAAAAAAGTCAAAGGAGCCGTGCCTCATGGAAAATTGTAAAGAACACCCACTAGGGGGCGTCCCGGGCTACTAGTAAAGATATAAATTGGTTATTATTCTGATTGAATAGAGTTTGTTACTCCAGTATTTATTTCCTACCTCATAAAAAAAATTTTACTGTTCATAAAGAAAATTCAATAATAATATTTGTAAATGATTACAGATGTTTTGTATTTTCTCGATGACAATATAACAAATTGATGTTAATTGAGGCCTTGCAGTGTTTGACTTATTATTTGTACTATTTTATATAAAAAACTAGCAAACAGATTATAATTTTTCATTTCAATAAAAAAATATTAAAAAACTCATGCGTGTAGTTCTAAGTTTTAGATCTGAATATTATAATTTCAATAATATAAGCCATAAAACAAAATTCAAAATTTACAGTAGACAAATCAAAAATTAGTACAAATTTTTTCTCATAAATAACTGAAACAAAACTGCCATTATAGTCAATAATCTAAAAATTTGGCATGGTAAGCACGACTAATTCATTCATTCATTAAAAATTATTTGATTAACAGAAATATAATATATATAATATATATTTCAAATATACGCATTATAGCCAATCCTTGATTTTCAGATATTTCACATTTGGACAACTCATTCTTTTAAATGCTATCTATGCTGCAACTAGTTTCAAAGAATAAAAGTGATATAATTCAAACACTTTCAGCCTAATTTATAGACCATCATCAAGAGTTTTAATTCAATATTAGAGAACTGACAACAGTCTTTAATCTAGGTCTATGGCATTTGAATTTAAATTATATCACTATTTTAGATGTTTATTCTTTGAACTCATTCTTTAGTAAATAGTACTTTGATACCCCCAAAAATGCTTTTTGTATGCCAAATTTGCACTTTCATATATTTTCAATTGAGAAAACAAAAATTTTGAGCTATCATCAGTTACACTTTCTTCAAGCTTTGGTTTTGGTAAGATCAAAATCATTTGTGAAAATTAATTTTTATTGTTTGTTTTCTATTTAATTTATAGTTTTAATATTTTAAATAATTTTTCATGCATTCTAACATTCACTGTAACAAACTAAAACTTAATGTTAATAAGAAGTTTTATAATTTTTCTTTTCAGCTCTCTGGAAACAGAACTTAATTCATAACACGCAACACTAATATTTAACTTTTGTACACATTTTTAAGAATGAATTATATTTGAAAGTCAAGGACTACCTGTATTATTTAAGAAGTTTATATATACAGTATACTTACTTGAGCATAAAATATCCAGCTTCCCAAGGTTCATTGCTATCAGCAGTATTTTTGTGAAACCTATACATAAGAAAACCTTGATAGTGAGGTCCGGCGGGAGTTGAAAACACGAGACTGTTATGTCCGATGTAATTTTCCCAATGAACTAACGCATAATGGTATAATTGCACTGTCATTATCTGTAATCCAAATTCACATATTTTTAAACAATTAATACGTATATTAAAATTATTCTAAAATAATAATTTTAAGTACCTACCCCACAATTTAAGTTCTGTGCTATAAATTTCTTTAGATATATCTTATGTGCAGTTGCATCTACAAAAACACAGGGTAACTTTGGTTGTTTTGTCCTTCTTATTGCTACTTCTAGATGTGAAATAATACTCCTAAAAGAATATTGGACAATTATAAAATGTTCGTAGATAACAATGATAAATTCATAAACATCTTAATAATTTTCAAATACAGACAGTAACTATGATATGCTTCTTGTCTAGACTTCTTAATGACTGTTGAGCACTAAGATTGGCCTTACTTTACCTCTATACTTATTATACCACCACACGACCACAAATTAGATGTAGAAAAACACTATTTGACTTTTTTATTCCCATGGGCAAGGTCTGATAATGGGAGTTCAAGTTGTGCCTTTGGACAGTGAGGACATGTAAGGAACCAAGTCCGAGCGTTATTTTTATTTTGCTTTTATTATATTTTGTTTGGGGCTTATGTTTAGTTAGGATGAAGGTTTCCGCACCCGTCACCTTAGAAAGTTAAAAAGAGAAGATAAAACCAACTCGCCGACGATAAAAAGAAAGCGCCATAGCTCACACTCGCACTAACGTGCACGCCTGAGCGGCAGATAGTAAGCCCGCACTGAAAGGGGAGGGACACACCCCACAGACTTTTAGGAACTGTTAAACCTTAAAGGAAACATCCCGATAATTGTTCAACAAAAGACTGTAAAAGGTTAACAAAGTATTGTCGGGAATTAAGCTACCAGATAAACAAGAAAAAAATGAATCACTATAAATGTTGATAGACAGAGTTTTGTTTGGTAGTGAAGCGGCCCACTAAACAGCTTGTTAGTCAGCATCTTCTTCAGCTTGATAGATGGAGTTATGTGGGAGGCATCTGTACCTTCTAACATATTTTTGACAAAATATGTCAGTTTGGGGGAAGATACAGATACTTGAGCCGACAAGAAGGGATCTTTTGGGCCCATCTATGTATATATTGATGTCTGCATGATTATCCATGGAGGAAGCGGATGACACCAAATAACCTTGTTTTCAGGATGATGATCAGAGATAGTAGGGTAATTGCAATGTGGTAGCATATGAACAGCCGTAGATTAGGAGTAGAGACCGTTGTTGAGCATTGACGTTTGTAGTTCTGATGTCATAGTTTAGAACGTTTTCTACAATATATAGTGGCAAAGGAAAAAGCTATGCTAGTATCAGAGAGGCTTTAGTAAAAACAGTTCTGCAACACTTTGAAATTCTGATATCAAACTGGCTTTGAAGAGAGAGTAATTTACTTGCTACTGAATTTTTACTAGTTACATGAACACAGCCAGAGGCCACATAAAGTAGCATTGGTTGTATTGCCTCATTATATAGAGTTTTATAAGCTTTATTATTTAGTCCTCAGGTGCACCTAGCACATTTTAGCAGCGTGTAGTTTATTTTCTTGGCCTTAGCCAAAATGTAATCAGTATGGCAACGGAATGTGGTTTCTCTCTATTCTCTCTTGTTTTCTTTTGTATGACGTTTCTGTTTACACGTGCACTAACTAGTCGATCTGGCAAAGTTTTTTGCGTCTTTTGCAAAAATTAAAATTAATATAAAAATAAATATTATGACGTTGATTAATGATAATATTGATGATGATAATGCTAACAATTAAAAAATAAAGTTCTTGAAAAATTGTTCATTCAAATTCATTAAATTTTTATATTTTTAAATTTGTTCACATAAAGTCTTTTATAAATAATAGTACATATTAATTAACTAATTAATAATTATATATTTTGGACCTAAGGAAAAAAAATTTTTTTTGGTTAAAATCTTTCTATAAAATCATGCCAAAATATTACGTAAGATATGGAAGGGGAGCAAGGGAATCAAAGAAAATATTACAGTTTCTTACACAGGAGTGGGCGGGGGTTCTAGAATGGCCAAAAACGCCCTTACATAATTTATGGGCAGCCCCAAAAAAACAACTTTCATTTTCTACAAAAACTGATAAGACTCTACTTTGCTAGGACTAGTGACATCTAGGTGTATTGTGTTTGTATTACTGTCCATCTCCTAATATTTATCATGTTTTTGGTTGTTGTTGACCAGTGTTTTCTTTGTCTTGTAAATACACTATCTTGTTTATTATTTTGCTTTTTTTACGTTCTTTTGTTTTTATACTTTATTACTTTTTATATGGATTATCTGCTTTTTTTTCTGTGTCAGCATGTATCTTCAATGTATATTTTGTACAGCATTCCCGATTGTGCCTAGTGGTATCAGGATCTAATAAAGATTATTTGTCTGTCTGTCAGCTCTGATAATGTCCCAACCACCTCATTCAGAGCTGAATTTGTGTCAAGCTTTTACTCTTATGCAAATCAATTTGTTAGACAATGTTCTTGCAGCCAACTTACATTTTAACTTGTTAAATAAATGTAAAGTACTCTCAAGTTTATATTAAGAGAAATAAATTAAATTTATTTGCCTAGTCAGTAAATTCAATGCAAAAACATTGTCTAAAAGCAAATTTAACTTTTTTTAAAAAATAAAAATTTAAATGTTACCTTGTTAAGTTATGATTTCCAGTGTATATTTGATAAACTCTCTTCCTGTCAGTAGAGACAATTAAGAACTCCTGGTAATTAATACCTACCTGTTAAAAAACAGATCATATGTAAGTTAGTCAATTAATAATTTGTAAATAAGAAATATAAAAAAAATTCTTATTTATAAATATTAAATTTTTATAAAAATAAACACACAGTTTCTATTTAAATTCAGAGTTTTAAATATGCAATACTCTTGCCTTCTAGTGATAGTTTATATTCTCAAATAACTTTAATTAAAATTACTAGATTACCCAAACACAACAGAAGCACAAGCTTGAATCATTGATCTGCGTGAACTTATTGCACTCAGTCAGTTTTAATGTTCACTTAACCTGGTGTATGTAAAAGTAAATATATACAGCATGTTACCTTAAAAAGAATCCAGGTTGATAGCTCAGAAAGAACTGTCAGATTCATGTAAGCACTACTTACTTTCATACATTGTCAAGGATGTACAATTCATTGTTGTATGAGTGAATTTCCCTTATCCCCAAAAAAGAGGGAACATTATCTCAGCTCCTACTGCAAATAGAACTACATTTCAAACTGTAAAGTTGAAGAGCAGGCCAAACTTAATATGTTCCACATGTTTTTCAGTTTAAAAAAACAAATGCATGTATAATGACTTAATATAGAGAACTGTTTTTACTGAGCAACTGTCAGTACTATATACCAGCTAATAATACTTCTTATAATATCTGTTGGTACACTGTACCAGCATTTACCAGCTGAAAAAAGCCCTGATTAAATCTACTATTTATAGCATCATAGTAAATAGCCACACTTGATATAGAGGATGTCTGTGAAAAAATTAATAATTGCATACAGTCGACCCCCCTATAATTACGGTCCCTATAATTACGATTCCTATAAAACTACGAAAAAATTGCTACCAGTATCCGTAAAAAATAGTAAAAGTTCCCTATAAACACCTCAAACGTCATCGGGAAGCCGAACTACTTTCCCGCCGTCCGTAGCGCCACGCTACGGAGAGATTTCTATCGTCTGGACAGTATTATATAAATTATATATAAATTAGGTACTGTACATATAATTATATATTAATTATATATAAATTAGGTACTGTATATATAATTATATATTAACTTATTGTAACTTTGTTATAATTAAATATATAATTTCCGCCGTCTAGCGTGGCGCCACGCTACGGAGATTTTTACGCTAACTATCGTCTGTCAGTATGTAAATTAGGTACCGTAAGTCTAATACAGTACTGTAATTTTATACATTTCTTGTGAAAGAAACATTTCTTATTCAACGGCGATTAAAATTATTTATATTAATGATGTCTCCGAAGTTCTACGAAGTTTTCACAGAAAAATAAGTTGTTAGAAATCGGCCGCTCTTTGCTGAGCTGTTCCGCGACGAAAACAATGTTGAGCAATGGCAATGTCGAATGGTGACACTCGGTAAGTAATCCTACAATTTTTTGTTTATAGCGTAGTTTATACGGATTATTCCCAAAAAATATATACGTATTTTGGAAATGTTGAGTCGGATTAGTCTAGAATCGATTAATTTTATGGAAGAAAATCTTTCAAACAGCCGTAGTCCGTAAACTTGACACGTGTCGGGTTGTGATTGGAAGGATTCGTAAGAAATCGGATTCCTAGAGAATGGAACGTATCTCTATCTTATAAGGGGGTCGACTGTAATTATTAAAATGTTATTAAAAACAAGATCACAACCATCATTATCCTGCTCTTCTTCATCTTAAGTGAGAGTGGATTTTGTATATCTAACTTGGATGAGAGTACAAATAATCCTTCAAAAAACCTTTAACCGGCACGAAGTTTAACCTTTAACTTTTTCTTTATTCATGGATGAAAGTACTATAAATAACCAGAAATTCAGCAAAAAAGTTAATATTTATTACTAAAACAAATGTTTTCAAGTTATTAGCTTAAGGCCCGTCTGCTACATCGCACATCAGTTTCAGCACACCTCAAGTATTTAGAAAGTCTGGAAATCTATCAGGCTACCAAGAAAGGCATTACAGTCACTTAGATACATCAGTATTGCATGCTTGGAAAGCTATATTTGAAGTTTTAATGTTGAATTCGCCTGATTTGTTATTTAATAGTTATATTTCAATTTTTATTTATTTGAACTTAAATGCTACCTCACAATTAAAATTTAACAAAAATATTTAATGTGAATACATGCAAAACATACTTTGGTATAGTTAATATAATAATAATAATAATATTTAATTACTCTCCCGTGGTCACTACCTGGTCGTGGTGGGATAGTCCAGTAATTTTACTGATCCATAGGGCAATGCAGGCTGGAGCACAAGCTCCTGGTAGGGACACCCATGCCAGTAAGGTCTATGGGGGAAAATGAAGCTAAGAGTGACCACATGACCACATACCCACATTACATGGAGATATTTATCATGATAGTAATCAGATCAAAGTGTGATACTGGCTTGGATGTCGCCAGGTTAACAAGGTCTGAATTGGTGAGTTAGGCAGAGGCTCACATTCGAAAAATAGGCCACAGTCTCCCTTGGTTACCGGTGGCGAAAGCAGCACTGGCTCAAGCATGGCTACTAATATGCCCTCAACAGAAGCGAGGAACCAATCTAGCCCTTGTGTTTCTGTGGCAATGCACTCACAGACCACAAAGGTTGGAAAACTATGCCAACAGATGAAATGGACAACAGAAATGAACGAATTTATCATCCGCACTTACTACACCATCACAAGACTCGAAACAAACATGACAGCATACAGACAACAACTACACCACATATTCACACAACAATATCCTCACCTCACTGTCACCGAACAAAGGGTTGTTGATCAAAAACGAACAATTATACACAACAACCTTATCCCACAAACAACACTTGAACTTATCAAACAACAGGTTGCTGATCAAATACATCAACAGACAGAAACATTTAACATTAATGAAGATCACGTAACCTGTCAGGATAATCCAGCAACAAGCACTGATTACAGCACACACACAACAAGTACCACTAATGATACTGCAGGCACTTCCCCATCCATCACTGATAACGTAGACATAGAATTAGTTAATACGCTCTCACTTATATTTCAGGAAACACTCATTAAATATACTGGTACAGATCCCACACAAAGACCACGAATACCAAAAATCAACACGTCAAAGGCAGTAGGAAAAACACTAGATTATGTAAACACTCACTTACTACCAAACTACATTCATTCAATTTCTACACTCTCAGACATTCATACATTAGTTTATGCTGGGGCAGTCACAGTAGTAACACACCATGGACTGAAAATACACTCACAGACAGACAGACACAAAACACAATCCTATCACAAGCCTGCCTGGCAGAGAAGAATAGAAACACAAATAAATGACATTAGACAGCAATTAGGCAGGCTGACATAATACACTAAAAACAACACCACACCCAAATTGAAGAAACAACTCCAAAAGCATTTTCAAGAAAATCAAAACACACACAAAACATGAAAATTACAACACACACATTACAGAATACATCGATACACTAAAACAGAAACGCGCAGCCAAAGCACGTAGACTCAAACGATGCATAACATTTATAATATGAGAACAACAAAATAAGTTATTTACAAACAACGAAAAAACTTTTACAGACAAATTAGTCACTGATACACAGCACAGTGGCACACCAACAGAAGAAGAACTCACAGCTTACTGGTCTTCTCTTTGGTCCAATGCTGTTACAGGTTGGATTGAGGAGAACAGAAACTTGCACAACATACCAACTTATGCCCTGTGCTTACATAAATATACATTACATCTGCTACACTGTGAACAGAACACACAACTGGAAGACACCTGGTGTAGATAACATTCACAATTTCTGGTACAAAAAGTTTACATCACTGCACCAGGAACTAGCTAAACATCTAACACACAACAGTGTTCCACACAGTTGGCTGATACATATTCTAACATGTACAAAATACATCCCTCATTGCATTCTTCGAAAACATTATGCAGCACTGGAGAACAACACTACATCTCAGGGTTAGTAACACTTCCATACAAACAAATAAAATATTCATTAGGCGAGGAATTTTTCAAGGAGATTCCTTGAGTCCTCTCTGGTTCTGCCTAGCCCTGAACCCATTATCCAACATATTAAACAACACGCAATACGGCTACAATATCAGACACGAAAAAACAACACAGTTTACACTGTCACATCTCATGTACTGTACATGGACGACATAAAACTTTATGCATCCACACAAAAACAACTTCATCAACTCCTACAAATCACACATTCATACACTAAGGGCATACAAATGGAGTTTGGCCTAGACAAATGCAAAACACTTCACATAGAAAAATGGAGTCCTGAAGAAAGAAGATTTTGCACTTGGAAATGGGGACATTATTGAATCCATGGAAGAGGGAACAAGTATTTGAAAGCATGGAAGAGGGCGTTCTACAAGTATTTAGGATTCCAACAGGCCAAACTAACAGAACATACACAAATAAAGCAAAGATTAATTAAAGAATACCAAAGTAGGTTAAGTGCTATCCTCAGAACACAGTTAAATGCAAAACACACAGTTAAAGCAATAAACATGTATGTCATCCCAGTACTCACATATTCTTTTGGAGTTATACATTGGACACAGATCTTGAGCAACTCCAAAGGAAAACAACAATAACACTTACTAAGCATAAACAACATCATCCTAAATCTGCCACAGAAAAATTAATCCTTCCACATAAAGATGGCAGCTGTGGCCTGATTGACATTATAAACCTTCACTACAAACAAATGCAGTCACTGCGAGAGTTTTTCTACAAAAAACAAGAAACATCACAGTTACATAAAGCAGTAACTCTAGCAGACTCAAATAACACACCATTAAACTTACACTCACATCATACAGACACAACATATAAAAAGCATAGACACCATCAAGCAATCATGGGCTCGAAAGGCACTCCATGGCAGGCATCTTTATGACCTGGCCCATGATTTTGTTGACAAAACTGCGTCAAACAGCTGGTTAGCTCAGGATGCCTCTTTGGGGAGACGGAAGGATTCATGATTGCCATACAGGATCAGATCATAAATACTAAAAACTATAGAAAACACATACTCAAAGATACAACACTCACAAATGACACATGCAGAAAATGTCACATCATGCCAGAAACTATACAACACATCACTTCTGGTTGCAAGCTCTTGGCACAGACAGATTATTTACATAGACACAATCAAGTAGCAAATATAATACACCAAGAGCTTGCAAACAAACAGAAATTATTAGACATTCATGAACCATACTACAAATACATTCCACAGACAGTATTGGAAAACAACATGCACAAAATGTACTACGACAGAGCCATAATCACAGATAAAACAATTTACCACAACAGACCAGACATCACACTCATTGACAAACAAAATAAAATCATACATTATAGACATATCCATTCCAAACACAATATACAAAACATATTCACTGAAAATAATTAGCAAGTACACAGAACTCACCCAGGAAATAAGGCATCTGTGGAGGATGGATAGGATGCTTATTGTACCTGTCGTTCTCTCCTGTACGGGTGTGATACCACACACGCTACACAAAAGCCTTGGAACATTACAATTGAATAGAAATACATACACTACAGAAGGCCACTATATTGAATACATGCCATATTGTTAGGAAATTCCTGAATACAGACAGTAACACACTTATTTAATTTTAGTTTTGTTTTGGTTGTTATGCCTTGACTCTGGTCTGGCATAGTATACAGCCACCAGTGTCAACCGAGTATAACCCACTAAACCCAAAATAATAATAATAATAATAATATGTAATTAAACAGTATTAAATAGTGATGTGATGATTAATTGAAATCTGAAATTGAAAAAAATATATATATAAATTAAAAAAAATAAAATGAAATCAAGCATTTTCTGGCACTTGGAATCAAGCAAATCTTGTCATGATTTCCAATTTTTAAGAATTGGAAATCATGACAAGATTAAAATGATTCTTCCACATTTAATAAGAAAATTAATTATTTGTTTCAGTTGAAGATTAAAATTTTTTTAAAATTATATTTGTACAGCTCATTACATCATCTGCCAATCATTTAGTGTTAAATATAATGGAATTAAAGCATTTACACGGCAGATTGAGAGAAGCATAAAAATGGAAGTGCATCTTCTTATTTACCTTCCCCCCTGCCCATCATCATGTCAGCTGACAAAGCAAGTCTCCAAAGATGGTGACCCTAAATGACATAATGGGAGATTTCTTTGAACAAATTAGTTGTAATTTCTTTGGTGGTATATTAACTTTTAAGTTGCAATATTAACTTATCTGAAATAAGATTACAAATTTATTTTGTAGTACACTAGGTGACATCCATATTCACATAGAATTTTCAAGTTTCTTTTGAAAGATTGATTTTGGATTTTCCAATCACTTTCCATTCTTAAGCTTGATGTTTATTACAGTAATTAATGAATGGACCATACTCATAATGTTAATCATTAATTTTTCTAAACTAAACTAAACTTTAGAAAGTATTCGAAAGAATTGGAATTGTGAGTTTCAGCAGAATCAGAATTGGGAGAAATTTTGATATTGTCCCATCATTAGTATATTAAATAGTAACATTTTTATTTAAGTGTTAGTCCTACTCTTGAATTAAAATGTTACTGTTTAATACTGTTAGAGATAGAGCTAGGTAGAAGTTACCTATAGCCAACTGAAGGCCTTCAAATAAATTCCATTTACACTTTTTCAGCAAGAGGTTATTCAAAATATTATAAATAAACCTATCTCTTGATTTGAAGTTATTAGTTTCAGCATTATTTTGTTTGATACTGGAGATAATTTGAGGAATTCATTAGCCTGTCGAAGATTATAACTTCACATGTATGATGCAGGGCATATTTTTAAGCTTTATTTTGGACAGTATACCACAATATACAGTACTAATAACACCAAAAGCTTCAATATCAATTACAAATAATAAAGAGTCAAAACTGATCCTTGAAAAACTATTCATATTCTACGGTTATTTTTAATACTGTCTTATCTTACAATCCTTATCTTAAATACTTATTCTAGAAAATTACTAAAAACAAAACTGAAGAAAAATTCAAATTTATATATATTTAAATCAAATTTTTATTCTTAATATAAAATCTGCATTGTAAATACAAAAACTCACGTATATGTAATCAATCTCCGAAAATACAAAAGAGGCTTCTTTATGTAATCGTTCTTCTCTGTTTCCACGTCTCAGAAAATACAAGTATTTATCCGACAAAACAATAAATATAATCTCAGGCGTACCTTCTAAGTATCCGGTAAATGCGGGAAACATCTAAAAAATCATCTCCGATTAAATTTGACAAAATTAAAATTATAAAACATTAAAGACCTTGTAAAATTACCTTGTAAAATTTTTCTTCTACTAATTCAAAAATCTCCAATGATAAATATAACAACATATTCTCACTGAGCCTAAAAACAAATTGTTTACTTTCATCAAATGAGCTTCATAATATTTCATCTAATTCAAATTACATTTCAATACAGAAATATCAAAAACAATTCTATATTATCAAAAAACAGTTAAAATAATAATGATATTAAACAAAAATGACATCAACAAAATATAATATATTTTTAAAAAATCATTATTTAATTGTAATTGTTTTAATTTAGATAAACAATCAATTATAATATTCAAATTTGATTGCCCAAATAATATATAATTGATAACAAGAAAAAACTTTTTTTATTCTTACCTCTAATTCTTATTTTGTCAAAACATTTGTATATTAATAAACTGGGATTTATATTACTTTCCTGGCTGTTATATTAACAGAGGCATAGTATGGCAATCGGTCAAAAAATGACCCCAATATTTAAAAATTTTTGACTCTAGGGGCCATTAAATGTTAAAAAATGTAAAAAAAATTCAGGATTTTTTCCTGTATGTATGGATGTTAAGGTGTGTGTGAGTGTGTGCGTGTTTGTGTGCGTTTGTTTGTTTGCGTGTATGGGGAACAATTTTGTTCACCTCCTTTGTAGCTTAATAACTCTTGCACTTCTTGTGAAAAATTTCTGAAACTTTTCAGGGACATTTGTGTATTAGGAGATTGATGCTATTAAATTTTCTTGGTTAAAGGTCAAGGGGTGGGAGATGAAGGGGATCATATCATATCTTGTCTAGGGTCTGACTTAGTGACAATTTTACTCATTATTAGCATTTACAATTTTTTATAAAACCCTACCATCAAATTTAAGTTTTTTGCCATTTTATAATAATTAAAAATATATTATTTTATTAACAAGAACTTTTTATAACAGATGGCACTACCAAATGTTGCCAGAGAAGTTAAGCAATCTGCTGCTGGACTTTTTTTTTGTGTACTAACTAAATAACGCTCAAAACATAAATCCTAGAACAAACAATATGTTCAACCAAAGAAAATTTCATATAGAAATATTGTTTTGGCTCCACGTAAAGTCCATGTCATTTAGTAATGTGATAAATACTATAATTAGTTGAGTTACAAGATTAAATGATAGATAAATGAAATGGAATGAGACTCTAGTTTCATTAGAAGTCTAGTTCTAGATCTAGTTCATTAGAAGACTAAAACTTTATTATAAAACTCAAGGTCATACTGTTTTGTGTCATAGTCTTGTCCTCTTTTTTTTGGTGAATATACAATTTACACTGGGTTTACATTTGAAATCTTATTGGTCAATGTAGAAATTTTTTTATACTTTTATGCTAAATTTAAAATAAAAAACTCTTAAAAATTATTATTATAATCCATGTTATTGTGAAGTATTTAAAAACTACTTTCTTGGAAAAACTGATAACAAAGAAACTTACACTTAGTTCAAATATTTTTGAGCTTCATAGGCTCATCACAGTAAGAAAACAAATCTAAAGTCTATCGACTTAAAACATTCCAAATTTCATCCAATACAAAAACATTAGAGCAAACAAAGTGTGATATCAAACAGAACACCTTCCAATCTGATAATGAAAAACAAATTTGAGACTTAAAATATTTGGGAAATTGTGAAGATTGAAAGAAGAATGAAACAAGAAGGATTCTGTTTGGAATTAAATAAGTTTAAATGAAAGTATTTTTTAAATAAAGAAAACAATCCAAAAGGTTGTGCTTGATTTCATGTCAGAGATTGTCTGCTTTAATGTTTTCAAATTAGATAAAGATTAAAATGCTTTTAAATTGACAGAATTTAAAATTTTGTTTGTTTTTTTTTTGGTTGCCCATTGATAATGAGCCTAAAAAGTTTAAAGTACCAGAGTTAAGTATACGACTTCTCTTATTAGTTTCTCCAATAAACTAGTTTTTAAAGATTCGAATATCATGTAAACTGATAAAATTTCATATAAGATAAGTTTACAAATTCTGAAGTTCCAAGTTTTGATAAATATTGAAAAATTCTGATGATTGGCTAATAATAATACTAACAAAACATTTTATATTATATTTTAAATGTTTGTATTTAAATAATAATTGATATTTTTAATTATAAATAATCTTTAAAATTACATATTTTGTAATTTAACTAATAAAAACTACATAAATTGTTATTCTTACCTCAATGAGTCATCACTTTTTTCAATTACATTTAGTAGTTTTTCATGGTCAGATTCATCACTATGCAATGTACAACTTGATATGTTATCCTCTGTAGAGTCACTGTCATCATCCTGAACTTTGGCCATATCAAATGAAATATTACACTCTGTTTTTTCATTTTTATAATATGAACTAGAAGAATCCTCATTATCACAGTACTTATTTAAATCATAGATAGATACTTCATCATCAGTCAATACAGTATCTTTATCTGGTGATTTAAGCACAGCAGTTTGTTTTTGCAAACAGTCAACATTTGGTGAAGGATCTTCTTGACCTTCTGGCTCTTTACGTTCTGCCCACCAGTTATTATCTTGATTAAACTCTTTTTCTTCTGTGTCCGGAATAGAAAATTTAAAGTCTAAACCAGGTTGAAATGTATTTACATTAAATAATAAACTGTCTGAAACATCACAGTTGGGTGTAGACTTATCTATTGACAATCCAGAATCTGTACTTATGTTGCTGACACAATTATAGTTTTTTATTTGACTATCCGACATTAATTGCAATGTATTCGTATTTTCTGTTTCGTCATTATTGGTCACACATTTTTCAAAAGCAACACTTTTATTGTCATCCATTTTAGCTGCTACTTTGCACCGACGCACTATTTTCGTATGAATAACTTCCAAATCTTTCGATTTAGAATTATCTGCCGCATCTAGATTAATTATATGTGAAATTCTTTTCTGCTCTTCATCCAGTTTCCTCATACAATCCATGCAATCACACTTATTTATTTGCTTTGATTCTTCAAAGCAGACTGGTTTCTCTTCACTACCTATCACTTCAATGCTATTTTCAACATCAACTACACCAGAATCTGCTTCTTGAAGGCTTTTTAGAGAAGTTGAATTGGAAATAGTAACCTAAAACAAACAAAAATATATAATTAACTTATATATATATAATGTAGTAAAACCTGTCTAAAACAGATCCTCTACAAAACAAAACCTTGACTAAATAAAAAGTAAATCTCTGGACAGAATTATTTGCTATATAAAATACTATTATAAGCCATAAAATTGTTTAAAGCAGAAACATAAGACTCCAAAACCCAGAGTAAAATGGAATTTTTTATATGACAGCAAGTAAATTCTAAATCATTGTTAACTTAATACTGTAGCTTTATGTTAAAATTTTATGTAAAATTTATGAAATTGAATTATGTAAAACTAGTGTCTTTTAATTGTATTTGTAAACTTATAACCCTGGTAATGCAAAAGCAGGACCAGGATGTGCATGTTATTTTAATGTACGAATAAATACTAAATGAAATGAAATGAAAATGTAGCTTTATGTTCAGATCAACTTCTCATTAACAACTACTACTACAGTTTATCATTTTTTATCTTTGCTTAATTAGTATTTTTATTATCTGGAAAGTACCAGTGACAACGTAATTCCAACGTTTCTTCTCAACTCTAAAAAAGAGTTAACTCATTCCCCTAAAATCACAAATATTTAAAAAATATTCATTATTTTTTAGGAAGTTACATGCTACAATTATGAAAAACTAGTTACTAAAAATAAAATTAATTCAATGTATTCACACTTTCTCATAAATAGATGTTATTAAATAACTATTTGATAACTTATGGCAAAATATTTTAGAATGAAAAAAAACTACCACTCTTTCTGTAATACTTACAAAAAAAAAAAAAATGATAGTTTTAATTTTATGTTTAGAAATTACTTTATGTAAATCAATTCTTTACATTAAAATGTACTTTGAAATTTATTATCCTTTATTGGTTAAACTAAACATAATATTCTTTCTATTAATTAAATAAGCTTTTGTTTTTATAATTTATGTCTTGTCTCTAAAATTGTGCTGCTGTCAATGGCTGCACACCTTAGAGGTATGAAGGAGTACATGTCAAGAGTTGCAATTTGGCACAGAGTATTTGGTGCCCAAATCGTACGCACATAAAATAAACCAGACTTGTAGGTAGTCAGGAGGCCAAGAACCGGGTCAAAAGAAACTACAAAATGCTGAGACTGTTTCTACAAGCAGGCCCAAGTACAAGATTTGTGCATGTGTTGCTTGTGCTCTCCAAGACATAGTCTCGTCCCAAAAATGGCTTCGCTGTTTAACTTGTAGTTATTAAACAATAAATTTAATACACTTATTTTTTATGTCTTATTCTAATCTTACAAATCTTACAAAATGAATTAATTTTGACACTATAAAATGAAAAAACACAATATTAAATATGCTATTTTGTCATCATAATGTCAAAAATAACTTATTTTAGTTGTTAAATATTCTATTTATTCAAACTGAAAGATTAAATGTTAAGTAATTTATGAAATATTCAACTTAAACTCGTTTACATTTACTTAAAGTAAATTTATTAAAATATTTTGCAAGATTGAGCTTATAACTTTATATAGATTGAAGTATGAAATACCTTTAAACTTACAATTATTTGTTTTAGTCATTTATATTGTTTTACAATAATATTAATGTTTAGCATATGATTATAAAAACTTCAGTTTAAAAATATAAATTTTGATCATTCATCCAAATGTAAATGATATATTTAGTCATATTACTCATCTTTTTCATCTACAAAATTTTAACATTTTCTTTGAAAATGTGCATTCAATTATGTTTTGACCCAAAATATTTCAGGAATACCACATAACAGGTTAATATAATAATATCTAGATATTCAAATATCAAGTATTAATAATTTCATTGCAAATCTCAGAGTCAGAATTGGACTAATTAAGCTAATTTGAGAATATGGATTACAAACAGATGCAATGCCATCTGTAATTGTGTTAGTATCAAGAGGCAAATAAAAAAATTTACTTTTAAGGAGTAGACTTGGCAACGAACAAGCTAGACATGCTTGTTACTGCACACTATGTTTCACAAGAAATACTTAAATCTTGAATATTTACTTAATATTAATTCAAGGAGTTACATTTGAAATTCTAAATAAATCAACTAGTAGCATAACATGAATCTGTCAAATGCCACTGATGATTGGTGTTGCCAAGTCTTCAAGTCTTCTTCTCAAAAACAAACTTTTCATTTGATCAATGTGCACATCTAAATTCATCTAAACTTTATACTACTACAAATTTATTAGCATACAGATTATTAACAACAGATAGCAATACACCTAAATTCAAATTTTCAAATTAATTTAAAAATCAATCAAATTTTAAGCAGATCTTCAGCAATGTTACTTATGTTCATATCATTTATTAATTTGAACAGATATAAAAAATTAAACTATCTTACCTGAGATTCCTTAGTATAGCTTTTATCCAATGATATATCATTTTCTTTTAACAGTAATATATTTTGCAGATGAGTTTCAGAATATTCAGATTCCTAATCAAAATAGTGAATTATTAATTTTATTTGATCCAAAAATAAGTAGTTAGCTCAAAAGCATTTTATCACTACTTTAGCTCTGTATTTAGTCTCAGAAAATATTATATATTGTAATAGAATAATATAATATATATATTACTGTGAAAGACCTATATCTGGCAAATGTCTATATTCTCTGGTGAATGTCAGCATTCACATAGTCGCTTGATGTATGTACAAAATATTTGCTAAATACAAGTATATCATTATTTCTCACTTACACCGGCAAATGTCGACATTCAGCATGCACTGATGGTAAATGTTACATAAAAATATTTTTATTACATTAAGACAAAAATGCAACTTTTTTAATATATGATTTATGTCAAAATAGGAAAAACTTAAGTAACAGCACATGTAAATAAACAGTTGAACCTAAAATGAACAGTACATTCTAAATCAGAAAAAAATTAATACCAATAATAAACTTACACACAAATTATGTAATTAATGTTATGCAATCTTATTTATTGTAACAACTGTTATGACACTTTGAATTGCACAAGTGTCTCTTGCTTTTACAGCTGCATTTAGTCATGGAATACTTCTTTTTGCATTACAGAGTGTATAGCGTTGTATTCCATTTCTCGAATTAGTTGTAGCTGCTTCTTTCAGTGACATTTCCTGAGAAGAAATCTATGGAAAGTAACTTTTCTTTACAAATTATGAACCAATTATGGGTATAAAGCTGCTTGGGGGTACCATTTTTGTTTGCCAATTTATAAAAGTCGGAGTTGTCTATTTCAACAACTGCCAACACATTTTGGGCATCTGTATGACCACAATCGACATCAGGAACTTGTATTCGTATGGTATCACCAATTTGGCAGGAGGAAATTTTCTTTTTGAGGTTTGTAACATTTTCATTGTTTGCAGTAGAAGATTCTCTTTTGCAGCCAACCTTTTTATAGAAATAAACTTGTGCTGTTCAGTCAGGGTTTAATACAACGATGTGGTAGGTTGCAACTCCTCTTCAATATTTTCCTTTGAAATATGGTTTTCAGTATGGTTACTGCTCAAATTTTCTTCAAAAGTATTAACAATTTCTTTGAGCTGTTCTTCAGGTTTCAATATTTGCGATTTGCTCTCCAGGCAAAGATGACGATGCTATGCCTCATTTTGGTTCAACACCAAATAGGGCTTCATAAGGACTTTGGCATATTCCTTCATGGTATGTTATGTTCTTGGCAAATTAAACAAAGCACAAACCATCTAACCATTTATTTGTTTCGTTATTGTTCATCCATGCAGTTAACACATTCTGTATATCCTGATTGGCCCTTTCAACTGAGCCTTGTGTTTGACTATGACGAGGCTTTCTGCGAACTGTCTTAACATCTTTCCACATAGTGCTTAATTCAGATATGACTCGATTACTGAATTCCCTACCATTATCTGAATGCAATATAGCTGGAACACCAAATGTTAACAGTATTTGAAGAAGGTGATATGCTACTTCTTCAGTTGTCTTAGTTTTTAAAGGTCATAACTGGACAAACTTCGTTAAATGGTTTTGATGTACCATTATGAACTTGTAATCACCATCCCTGTGTGACTGCAGGGCTATAAATTGACTTGACATCTTGAGTTTAACTCCAAACTGACCACTGGTTTCACAATACCTTTTTTAGGTGCACTATGTTTCATTTGACATTGTTTACATAAATTTAAATACAATTTTGTATGTAAAATTTTTGTATTTAACTTGCAATTCTTTAAGCATAAGTGTTCTTCCTCTATGGCCTATTCTGATGTGAGTTTCAGATAGTATACTGAACAATTCATTATTAGTAACATAATACTGTATATTTGTTTCTCTTGGTTTTAATTGCACAATTAACTTCTCTCAATCATTAATTTTTAAAATGTCAAAATGTTTTAATTATCTGTAATCCAAAGGTGTACTGCACTTAGTTTTAGCAGAAATCACTTCAGAGTATTTTAAAGTACTTTTCTTGAGAAAAATAAAAACAATTGTCTTCTCGTTTACTCACAATTATTAACGCACGTAACTTTTCAAAAATAAAAAAAAAAAAAATTACAGTTTACTGCAGTAGCCATGCAATATAAATTAGTGTATCAGATAAAAAATAAAAATTAAGCAAACATTGCATGCACCAACAAACCTTGCATAAGACTGACAAATAGCAGAATGTTTGAGAGTATAACAAATAGATGCCACGTGACTTCAATCGCAACAGAGGATTTGGCGTTTTTGTCGCTTCTCTCTGGCTGTGTCTTCTCAGCTTGTCATTTCAACCTCCACAAGAGCTTATCTGTGCTTGTCAACATATATCAGCAATGGTTCAAATGTATAATAATATAACCAAATATTCGGTCTTTCACCGACATATTTGGTTATGTGTCGACATTCACCAAAGAATGTTGACATTCTCTAATTTTGGTCTTTCATGGTAACATATACGTATTTTACAAACCAAAAACCTATCAAATCTAAATCTAGACACCAGATTATTTCAGGTCACATTATAGCAAATCTTTAAAAATTAGTCATAAGGTAATTCAAATAATTCAGGGTTTTATCACAGTACTAAATAATATTGCAATATTTCCTATTTGTTTTAAATAGTATGCATACATAAGTATTAAGTAATCGTGATTTGTTGTGTACAATTCAGAAAACAAAATATTCATATTTGAAAAAACAGTATGTATAATGAACAAGTCAGAGAGATAAGATCTTAGAGCAGCGTTTCTCAAAGTGAGCAATAATGCCCCCTTGTGGGCGATGAGTAGATCTAGGGGGGCGCTGGAGGCAGAGTATTGAACAGTGACCAAAGGCTAAATTGGGGTCACTGAAAGCCATTACCTTTCCTCTGTTAAACTGATAAGAGGAAACATTGCATTTAATGGTTTCCAGATGTTGAGAACAATGCACGGTAAGGGCACAAAGTGTGAGATTCATAGAAAAATTTTCCTAAGAATATTTCTAATCCTTTCTCACACAAGAGAAAATGGGTTAGGGGGCATTGGGTATAACTTTATGGAACAAAGGAGCAGTGGATCAAAAAAGTTTGGGAATCACTGTCTTAGAGTATTGTAATATTTATTAATATAAACAAAACTTGGCACCAACCTATTAGACAAATTAAAAATCTGCTTAATTCTGGAAACTAAATAAAGTTTATCAAGTAATGATATTGGTTTTATTTCACACCATACTCAACTTATAACTGGTTGAAATCAACTTACAACTGCCAATTGGAATTGGCTGTATACTAAGGATTATTCAAAACAGAACTGAAATATTATTCAATAAATTATTTGGTTTACAGAATTAAACAGCTTTTTATTTCTAACATTTAAAATATATAATTAAAAAATTAATTTCAACCTAAGTAATACAGTAGAGCATCGAATATCTGATTCAATTGGGGACTCAGGTTGGTCAGATAACTGAAAAAATCAGATAACCAAAAAGAAGGGAAAAATACATTATTAGTATAGTATATTAGTATATCCCATGTAATTAGTTTATTAGTATATTGCTATTAACTAACTTCGCGTTAAATTTTCATTGATGTTTAGCCTAACAAATTTTTTTCTAAAATAATAATCATCGCTACTGTATCATTAAAAATTATTTTTAAATTGTTTTATTGCTCACGAAACAAACAACCACTCATAATTAGAAAATTAAGTCTCGCTTAAATATTGGCCTCCCTTCAATGGTTGAGCCGTTGATGCCAGCTAAAACACGCAAAAATTTAACAAAAATAATANAAAAAAAAAAAAAAAAAAAAAAAAAAAAAAAAAAAAAAAAAAAAAAAAAAAAAAAAAAAAAAAAAAAAAAAAAAAAAAAAAAAAAAAAAAAAAAAAAAAAAAAAAAAAAAAAAAAAAAAAAAAAAAAAAAAAAAAAAAAAAAAAAAAAAAAAAAAAAAAAAAAAAAAAAAAAAAAAAAAAAAAAAAAAAAAAAAAAAAAAAAAAAAAAAAAAAAAAAAAAAAAAAAAAAAAAAAAAAAAAAAAAAAAAAAAAAAAAAAAAAAAAAAAAAAAAAAAAAAAAAAAAAAAAAAAAAAAAAAAAAAAAAAAAAAAAAAAAAAAAAAAAAAAAAAAAAAAAAAAAAAAAAAAAAAAAAAAAAAAAAAAAAAAAAAAAAAAAAAAAAAAAAAAAAAAAAAAAAAAAAAAAAAAAAAAAAAAAAAAAAAAAAAAAAAAAAAAAAAAAAAAAAAAAAAAAAAAAAAAAAAAAAAAAAAAAAAAAAAAAAAAAAAAAAAAAAAAAAAAAAAAAAAAAAAAAAAAAAAAAAAAAAAAAAAAAAAAAAAAAAAAAAAAAAAAAAAAAAAAAAAAAAAAAAAAAAAAAAAAAAAAAAAAAAAAAAAAAAAAAAAAAAAAAAAAAAAAAAAAAAAAAAAAAAAAAAAAAAAAAAAAAAAAAAAAAAAAAAAAAAAAAAAAAAAAAAAAAAAAAAAAAAAAAAAAAAAAAAAAAAAAAAAAAAAAAAAAAAAAAAAAAAAAAAAAAAAAAAAAAAAAAAAAAAAAAAAAAAAAAAAAAAAAAAAAAAAAAAAAAAAAAAAAAAAAAAAAAAAAAAAAAAAAAAAAAAAAAAAAAAAAAAAAAAAAAAAAAAAAAAAAAAAAAAAAAAAAAAAAAAAAAAAAAAAAAAAAAAAAAAAAAAAAAAAAAAAAAAAAAAAAAAAAAAAAAAAAAAAAAAAAAAAAAAAAAAAAAAAAAAAAAAAAAAAAAAAAAAAAAAAAAAAAAAAAAAAAAAAAAAAAAAAAAAAAAAAAAAAAAAAAAAAAAAAAAAAAAAAAAAAAAAAAAAAAAAAAAAAAAAAAAAAAAAAAAAAAAAAAAAAAAAAAAAAAAAAAAAAAAAAAAAAAAAAAAAAAAAAAAAAAAAAAAAAAAAAAAAAAAAAAAAAAAAAAAAAAAAAAAAAAAAAAAAAAAAAAAAAAAAAAAAAAAAAAAAAAAAAAAAAAAAAAAAAAAAAAAAAAAAAAAAAAAAAAAAAAAAAAAAAAAAAAAAAAAAAAAAAAAAAAAAAAAAAAAAAAAAAAAAAAAAAAAAAAAAAAAAAAAAAAAAAAAAAAAAAAAAAAAAAAAAAAAAAAAAAAAAAAAAAAAAAAAAAAAAAAAAAAAAAAAAAAAAAAAAAAAAAAAAAAAAAAAAAAAAAAAAAAAAAAAAAAAAAAAAAAAAAAAAAAAAAAAAAAAAAAAAAAAAAAAAAAAAAAAAAAAAAAAAAAAAAAAAAAAAAAAAAAAAAAAAAAAAAAAAAAAAAAAAAAAAAAAAAAAAAAAAAAAAAAAAAAAAAAAAAAAAAAAAAAAAAAAAAAAAAAAAAAAAAAAAAAAAAAAAAAAAAAAAAAAAAAAAAAAAAAAAAAAAAAAAAAAAAAAAAAAAAAAAAAAAAAAAAAAAAAAAAAAAAAAAAAAAAAAAAAAAAAAAAAAAAAAAAAAAAAAAAAAAAAAAAAAAAAAAAAAAAAAAAAAAAAAAAAAAAAAAAAAAAAAAAAAAAAAAAAAAAAAAAAAAAAAAAAAAAAAAAAAAAAAAAAAAAAAAAAAAAAAAAAAAAAAAAAAAAAAAAAAAAAAAAAAAAAAAAAAAAAAAAAAAAAAAAAAAAAAAAAAAAAAAAAAAAAAAAAAAAAAAAAAAAAAAAAAAAAAAAAAAAAAAAAAAAAAAAAAAAAAAAAAAAAAAAAAAAAAAAAAAAAAAAAAAAAAAAAAAAAAAAAAAAAAAAAAAAAAAAAAAAAAAAAAAAAAAAAAAAAAAAAAAAAAAAAAAAAAAAAAAAAAAAAAAAAAAAAAAAAAAAAAAAAAAAAAAAAAAAAAAAAAAAAAAAAAAAAAAAAAAAAAAAAAAAAAAAAAAAAAAAAAAAAAAAAAAAAAAAAAAAAAAAAAAAAAAAAAAAAAAAAAAAAAAAAAAAAAAAAAAAAAAAAAAAAAAAAAAAAAAAAAAAAAAAAAAAAAAAAAAAAAAAAAAAAAAAAAAAAAAAAAAAAAAAAAAAAAAAAAAAAAAAAAAAAAAAAAAAAAAAAAAAAAAAAAAAAAAAAAAAAAAAAAAAAAAAAAAAAAAAAAAAAAAAAAAAAAAAAAAAAAAAAAAAAAAAAAAAAAAAAAAAAAAAAAAAAAAAAAAAAAAAAAAAAAAAAAAAAAAAAAAAAAAAAAAAAAAAAAAAAAAAAAAAAAAAAAAAAAAAAAAAAAAAAAAAAAAAAAAAAAAAAAAAAAAAAAAAAAAAAAAAAAAAAAAAAAAAAAAAAAAAAAAAAAAAAAAAAAAAAAAAAAAAAAAAAAAAAAAAAAAAAAAAAAAAAAAAAAAAAAAAAAAAAAAAAAAAAAAAAAAAAAAAAAAAAAAAAAAAAAAAAAAAAAAAAAAAAAAAAAAAAAAAAAAAAAAAAAAAAAAAAAAAAAAAAAAAAAAAAA